ATGCACCAAATACAGGAGCACCCAACTACATAAGAGAAATACTAATCGATATGAGAAACCAAATACACAATAACGTAATTGTAGTAGGAGACCTGAATATCCATTGTCACAAAGAGATAGATCTAGACAAAAGTCAGCAAAGAACAGAACTGAATTAAACCGGTGAACAAATGGACTCAGTAGATGTTTAGAGTGTTCCACCCAACCATATCAGAATACACATTCTTCTCAGCTGCACATGGGACATTCTCTAAAGTAGACCATATGTTAGCCCATAAAACATTCTTAAGTAAATGCAAAGGGAATGATATTATCCCATGCATATTATCTGATCACAGTGTACTAAAGTTGGAAATTAATGGCAAAAGAAACTGTACAACTTACATAAACACATGAAAATTAAATAACATTCTCTTGAACAACCTGTGGGTTACAAGTGAAATTAAAGAAAAAATTAAACAATACCTACAATTCAATGAAAATGCAGATACAACATATCAAAACCTGTGGAATGCAACGAAAGTGGTGCTAAGAATGAACATAAAGCAATGAACTGTCACATCAGGAAAACAGAACGAGCACAGATAAACAACCTAATGCTACACCTCAAGCTTTTAGAAAAGAAGAGCAAGTCAAGCCCAAAGCTCATAGAAGAAATTATAAAGATCAGAACAGAAATTAACACAATTTAGACTAAAAAACACACACAAAAAAAGAATCAAAAAGCTGATTCTTTGAGAGAATAAACAAAACTGATAAACCTCCAGCCAACTTTATTAAGAAAAAGGAAGGAAAAACTCAAATTCATGTAGTAAAGAATGAAAAGGGTGAAATTACTACAGATTCCATGGAAGTTCAGAAGACCATGAATACTTATTTTGAAAATCTTTACCCACACGGGGTGAAAAACATAGGAAATGGACAAACTCTAGGAATGTATGAATTACCAAGGCTGACTCAAGAAGATAACAATTTTGAATAACTCAGTTATCAGCCACTGAAATTGAACATGTGATTAAAAATGTATCAACAAATATAAGCCCAGGTCCTGATTTACGGCTGACTTCTATGAGAAGTTTGGGGATTTAATGCCAATATTCAAACTTTTCAAAGAAATTGAAAGGGAAGCAAATCCTCCTTACTCATTCCTGAAGGCAAGTATTACTCTGATACCAAAACCAAAGAAAGCCTCCCCCCAAAAAAGAGAACTATAGGCCAATCACCCTAATGAACATCAAGGCAAAACTTCTCAAATACTGGCAAACAGAATGCAGCAAATCATCAAGAAGACTATACACCACAACCAAGTAGGATTCATTCCAGGAATGCAGAGATGGTTTAACATACACAATCAATAAATGTGACACACCACATCAACAGAACCGAAGACAAAATATCACATGATTTCAATAGATGCAGAAAAAGCTTCTCATAAAGTCCAACACTTGTTCATGATAAGACCCTATAGAAACTTGGAACAGACAGTATCTAGCTCAATCTGATAAGGTCATCTATGACAAATCAACAGGCAACATTATACTAAATGGACAAAAACTGAAAGCTTTCACTCTAAAATCAGGAAGAAGACAAGGATGCCCACAATCACTACTCCTAACTCAATGTAGTTCTGGAATCATTAGCCAGAGCAATCTGACGAGAGAGAGAAATAAAAAGGAATAAGGATAGGAAGAAGTTAAATTATCACTATTTACAGAGGACATGATACTCTACATAGAATATCCATTAAAAGTCCATCAAAAGACTACTAGAATTCATAAACAAATTCAGAAGTGTAGCTGGATACAAAGTCAATGCTCAAAAATCAACAGCATTCTTCTGCACAAACAATAAACTCAGAGAGATAAATTATGGAAATAATACCTTTCACAACAGCATTAAAATCAATGAAATACTTAAGAATTAACCTGAGAAAGGATATAAAAGACCTATATCTTGAAAACTATAGTACTCTAAAAAAGGAGATTGAAGAGGATGTCAGAAAATGGAAAGATAGTGGGCCAGGGGTTTAGCTCAGGAGCATACGTGCCTGCTTGGCAAAAACAAAGGTCATGAGTTTGATTCCCGGCACCAAAAAAAAAAAAAAGAGGCGGCAGAAGATACACTCTACAGGTATGTCCATTAGCATAGAAAATGGAAAGACAGCTTTGCTCTTAGATAGGAAGTACCAACATTGCGAAAATGGCCATACTCCCAAAAGTGTTACACAGATTTAATGTAATTCCAATCAAAGTACCAATAACAAACTTTACAGATCTAGAGAAAACATTTCTAAAATTCATTTGGAACCAGAAGAGACCTACAATAAGCAAAGGCAATCCTGGGCAACAAAGAAAAGGCAGGAGGCATCACAATCCCTGACTTGAAATTATTCTAAAAGCCTCAGTGATAAAAATCAGCATGCTACTGGCAAAAAATCAGATATATGGATGAACAGAACAGATTAGAAATGCAGACACACTACAAAGACACTCAGCCATTTTATCTTTGATGAACGGGCTAAACATGCTCACTGGAAGAAAGGCTCTTTAATAAAATGCGGAGGAAAAATTGGCTTTCCACATACCAAAGACTGAAACTAGACCCATGTTTATTACTATGCACTAAAATCAAAATGGATCAAAGATCTAAATATTAAAACAGAAACACTAAATCTACTGAAAGACAAGGTAGGTAGAAATCTTGGAAACATAAGGGTAGGCAAAGAGTTCATCAACAAAATGCAAACCACAAGGGAAGTACTTCAAAAATCAACAACTGGGATCTCACTATACTAAAGTTTTTGTATTTCAAAAGAAATCACCAACAGAGTGAAGAGAACCCACAGAACGGGAAAGAATTTTAGCCAGTTTTCTCTCAGACAAAAGACTTGTATCTAGAACATATAAAGAACAAAAAAACATCAGGCCCCCAAATTCAAAGCTCTAATCCAAAAGTAGGCATCTGAAATAAACACGTACTTGTCAGGTAACGAAATACAAATGGCAAGTAAGTACATGAAGACATGATCAACATCATTGGTCATTCGAGAAATACAAATTAAAACAACACTGAGATTCCACCTCACTACACAAAGAATGGCTGCCATCAAGTGATCGACAGATATCAAACGTTGGCATGATTGTGGGAAAAAGGAACACTTCACTGATGGTGGGAGTGTCAACTATGGTGCAGCCACTGTGGAAATCAGTGTGGAGATTCCTCAGAAAACTAGGATTGGAAGTCCACATAATCCAGCTATTCTCCTTCTGGGTATTTTCCCAGAAAAACTGAAAATGCCATGCCACAGTGATACACATGCACCCATGTTTATAGCAGCACAATTCATAATAGCTAAACCTTGGAAACAAGCAAATGCCCATCAGCTGCAGAATGAATTAAAAAATGTGGTATTTTTATACAATGGATTACTTGGCTACAAAAAAGGATAATCTGGAGGCTTTTGTAGGTAAATGGAGACAACTTGAGGCTATATTCACAAGTGAAATAAATCAAACTCATATTTATAAATATCAGTCTCTCTAGTATAAAAAAATAAAAATCTGAAAGAGTAATAAGATCCAAAATACTTAATACTATAATAATGAAAGGGAAAGAGTGTTCAAAAGGACAGAACTACTGGGTTAGGGGAAAGGGAAAAAGGAAGGAAAAAGTTATTTGTATGTTGGTAAACATATATAAATGTATGCACATCACAGAACAGTTTGTGCTGTCACTGTTTGATCACTTTTGGATCTAGATTTCGTAACCTCAACTAGTTCTGAGATAACAACATATAATATATTGACTAGTATTAATTCCCTACTTTTCTTTTTTGAAATTCTGTATTTCTATTCTTTTTTTTTTGCTTTTTAAAATAAAACAAACAAACAAAACCCAAAATAAAAGATTCAATCAAAAAATGGGCAAGCAAAACAGTTTTCTCGAGCAGTGGTGATCAGCAGCATGTGCACTCACACCAGCATTAAATAAGAGAGAAACATATGGGGCATTTTAAATCATATACCAGTTTCTTGCCAAAGAATTGTTGAGAATTAAGTTTTTTTCACTTACCGTAGGGGTAGCATCACTGAAAATTGATTGTAAACTTGATATATCCAAGTCACTTTTTTGATTATCCTTAATTTCTTAGGTATGTCTGATTATACACATACCCCTGTTAAACTATTATTTGTGCAGTAACTTTGCTACATGCAAAATACTTAAACCAAACTACCATAAATTCTTTTTGGAAAACAGAACACAAAAATCAATCCATACGCCCATTTACTCTTTCTTGATGCTTTGTTAGTTATCTGGTCTTACTTCTTTTCCAAACTCGACAGTGCCTCAGCCCAAATAACATTTAAAATGGGGTTCCAAATAGTCCTTCCATGTTCATACCACAATTCTTCCTAGAATGTCTTCTACTTATTATTCATTAAGCCATTTTTCTCACTTCATGCCTTTTCTTATAGCACTGATTCTCAAATGTAGCAAAAAAATAAGCTTTATGACTACACGGTGGGAAATGAGGAAAACGGGCTTTACAGTAGACTCAATAGAGGTTCTACAAGATATCTATGTCAAAAACTCCTGCAACCTGTGAATAGTAGGGATTCTGCATATGTGATTATGTGAAGAACTGAAGACAGACACAACACTGTCCAAAGGCCCTTATCAGAGGGAATATAGGGAGATTACAAGACCTAAGAGAGAAGACCAGGTGAAGATAGGAAGAGAGCACTGTCAAGATGTTACACTTCTGGCTCTGCAGATGGAAGAACAGTGAGCTCACAGAATTCAAGAACTGCAACTCAGGAATTTGAAAAAATCAAGGTAATAAATTCTCCTTCAGCAACAACAGAAGAAACCAGCCCTCACAACATGTTGATCTCAGTCCACTGATACTAATTTGGGGATTCTGGCCTCCAAAACTGTTAAAGAGAAATAATTTTAAGTATACATTAATTAATCACATTAGGAATAGGAAATAAATGCAATGCTTTTGACAAGATTTTATTGTGAAATATTGGATTTAGAAAAAAAGTACAAAATGTCAATAGTCAGATGTGTACAAGTACAGTATTTCAATAATATGTACACGTGAACAGCTTAACAGGTTCACTGCAGAACGCATATTTAGACCAATACAATCTAAAAAGGACTGCAATATTCACAAGGCTATTAATACATAAATAGCTTGAGTCAAAATGACTCTCACTTTTAAATGCTAATTAACTGTGGAAAACAGGCTAAAAGCACAATACAGCACACCATAAAATCTCTCCTTATAGGTCCACATTTAAAGAGTATCAGCTCATTATGTCAGTACACTATAGATCAGACTGGGATTCAATTACTAGTTTATACAATTGCAAAAATTTTAATTTATAAATAAGGTTATAGAACAAAGAGAGGGTTTTTAATTAGGACTAAATACTGTGAAGCCCCTTAATGATTTTAGTCTTGAAAATTACAAAGCTTTATTTATTAAAACTGATTTTTAATTTTGATGTTAGCTGGAGTTGGGAGGTTTCTTTTGAAGCATCTCCAACAAGGTATAAGAAGTCTGAAAGTTTATTTTAGAACCATAATGACCACTGTGGATTGACAAATGGCTATGAAACCAGAATATAAAACATTACAAATTTTAATGAAAGATAATGCCTATTATTTTGTGAACTTAGCAAATCTTGCAAACATTAAAATCCATGTTAAGGCATTATCTACAATTGCTGAGCAACACTAAATTTAAGATTACTTCATGAAGAGCAATTAAAAATAGCTGGTTTAATTTTTTTCAAATCTTATTGACTCAATCATTTACTGTTACTTGAAAATTATCCTAGATTGTACTGTTCCAAATTGGACAAATATCATTTTATAATGAACAATGAACAACTGTAAGGAAACTCAACTGAAACACGAATCATGTTAATAAGAATTGTTACAATCATTGTGTGGTCTTAAGAAAGCCAAACTTTGTTATGAAATTCATAATCAACATTTGTCTAAAAACATTCAAAATTCATCAATTTAATAAAAAATTTACTTAAAACATTTGTTCACAAATTCCTAAAGGAAAGAACTCTTTCATCCTATACAGTGTATTTAACAATGCCTGAGCTTTCAAAACTGAACTAAAAGTTTAAACTGAAATTAAATAGATCAAATCCATTGCAGACTAAAAACTACTAGATCAGACTATAGTTAGGCAATAACTTCATATAACCTATCTCGCATCATCTTTATATAGAAAAATTTAAAGACTTTGAGACAATTTACTTATACATAGTGCCTGAATCTTAGACTCCAATTTAAGATAAGCATAGATGAGATTATAAAAAGTTACTTAATTTTTTCTAAATTTGCATTAAATTTATAAACTAAGTATGATATACATAAATATTAACTTAGATATCCCCACAAATTATAGGGTATGCAGATTATGACCACTGTAGAAACATTATAAGTTTTAAAGGAATTTTATATTAAAAATATAAAGCAAACCACGTAACTCACAAAATATGAACACGAAGCCATATAACAAAAAATAAAATTACTCTATCAGAATTGATTTACAATTAAATTTTTAGGTAATGATTTCAAAATAATTCAATGCATTCAGTCACCAACAGCTTCCCAGTATCACACAAAAACTAACCACAAAATCATCTAGTCTATATGCATTATCAGTTCTTAATGCAACTTCAAAAACATTACTAGCAACTTTGATTTCTTTTTGAAATAGGCTTCTGTACATAAGCATTTATATACAAACATTAAACATGATTTTAAAACAAACTATGTACAAAAGATCAGCATTCCTATAAATAAAAACATTAGGTGGCAAAAGGCACTTGTAAGTAAAAATCTACAGTAGTTTTGTACAAAACAAAAACACATTTTACCTCAAGATACTGTACAATAAACATTGACTTCTATACTAAAAAATGAAAATGCTTGGTTACTAACTCATGATGATATAACTTCTAAAAATGTATTTACATGTACTCTGGAATTCATTTAATAAAAGCACCATGATTCTCTAAATTTATGAATTCATGTTGATGCAAAGTAAAAATACAATTCCAAAATACCAGTGTTAACCATATTCCTTGTTCAAAACTTTTTGTTCTCCTAATTGAAAACTATTTATCTGAATCTAGCATAGTGTTAAACAAAAACCCCCCAAAAACCCTGCTGCTTTGACTTTTTAATACCATACCTACTCTATTATTGCGTGTTGCATTTTATAAAGAGCACTACTCATGCACTCCTTTACAACTGTTTAATACTATTGCTGGCAAAAAGTTCTTGGATATCAAATAATTAAAAAGTTACTTCAAACCAGTTGAAGTTTTATTTGAATGTTTTACAACTTAAAAAATGCTATATATCAGTTACAAAAGTGAATAGGAAACACATCAATTCATCTGATGTGTAAAAATATTTTTTGCACTACACAGAATGTAAGGGCTTCACAGAATTCTTCCCCCAAATTTACATTATAAGCAGAAACACTTAAATATTTTTTCAAGGAGATGTTAGTATGCTTCCACTTTTGTCAAACTTTTTACCCTTTGACAATGCTGCAACCTGTTTGAGTAGTTCTCTGTTTTTAGCCTGTGAGAGACAAAAATTCAAGATTTAAAGTCTGACATATTGAATCATCCTGAAAAACACTACTTAACATTAATGTTGCTTATTTATGTAACAAAAGATTGCACTGAAAAACTAACAGATCAAATGAGTTAGTGTATTTAAGTTCATCCTTTTCAGGTTATAGATAAGTAGAAAGAAGATTGTAGACTGGTTCATCAGTCCCGTTGGTAAATGTCTATATTAATATAATTGCTGTCTGAAGACACAGTTGGCTACAAAGAAAGTAATAAAATGAATGCACTTAAAGAAGGTTCGAAGTTTAATACAGGAAAAAATACTTGGTCTTTTACTTACAACATGAAAATTATTTAAATAAATTGATTTTTAGTTAATAAAAATTAAAGAATGAATCAAGTGAGATTATTTTCCAGCAAGCTGAATAAAGTCTTTCATTTGATGTTTACCTTCTTGGAGAACAAGTGTAAAACAGATCATTTTTACAAAAATACTCATCACTTTCTCAAAGGCCATCTCTTACTAACAATTTCTTTTACGTATCTATTACTTGCCAGTCATTTGGCACTGTGTTGGTAAGATCTAAGCAGTTTTGTATTACTGGTTTTAATTTCAATAAAGCCTAATTTGTTTGGTTTTTTGCAAAGACTCTAAATTTCATTTTGCCAATGATCTAAACTGAATTTGCACTTCATTATAAAGTATCTCGTCTATCACTGACAAAGATGCAAGTCCTTGATCCAATGTACTACGACAATCACTAGTGTTTAGTAAGGAGGACTGGATAGTAGAAACTTCCAGAGTATTTTCATACTTTGCCTGCCTCTGCCATTCTACATAATCTCCAATCTCTGGAAACTTAACATAATAAGGATCCCTCATATATACAAGTATTTCAATGACACAATTTTGAAGTTTTAAAAGATATCCTCTGGTTAATGTTTTAAAAACATTTTATTTCATAGGTTTTTAAATGTTTTTTAAGACAGATTTTTAACATTAGCACTTCATTTTCTACTCTATATTTAGCCTTTGCATGATAATACTCTATCGTCTATATGCCACATTAAAGGAGTTTAATGAAATATAAACACCTTCTAGCATCTGAACTTCCATTTCCTCACTCTCCCCCAAGTTCTTCCTAATTAAGATCTATGGGCCTTAACCGCAAATACTCTCAGTGCTATGGCTACTTTGTTAATGAAGTCATTTTATGTTTAGTTGCAAGATGAATAGGATTTTGCTCTACTTAATAGTTATTAAGTAACTGAGGTAACAATGAAGTTTCAGTTTCAAACTCAGTATTGACTTCAAACTTTAAAAATCATCAATAGGGATATAAACAACAATTTGAGTAATTCAGAGGGCCAACTGATTGAGATGCTTGGCACAGAAAGTCAAGCAGCACACTCATAATTATTCAGCTTTGTTACTCAGCACAGCAGTCACTGTGGTAATTAAAAATATGTCCATAACTGCCACATCATATTTAATTTAAAACTATAACAGACCCGCCAACCAAAACCTGAAAATTTAAGAAATTAAAATGTCAAAACATAAAGTCATAAAGAACATTAAAAAAGAGTACATCTGTAAATCTGCCTCAAAGAGACCCCTCCAGATCTGTAAGAAGCACTATTTAAATGTTTATACTGATACAATAAATGGCTACAAAGTGAAACTTCATATTATCTTTTCTCAATCAAGAAATTTTTAAAAATTAAAAGCTGTTTTTATATTCCAAGTACAAAATCTCAAATATTAAGTCTTAAAAGCAGTTTTTCCTTTTAATGCTCGGGCAGCAAATTTCCAATCTGGATTTATGTATTTAGTGCCTAGTCATACGATCAACACATTAACTTGTTGGTAAGTTATCTAAGAAAAGCCTTTAAGATAAATAGTGCACCAGTTGTTAAAGGAATACAAATCCACATTTACCTTGAGAGTAATAAATATTCACAATGAGAATGTAACTCCTATGACTTGCTACTAGACGGCTTGCACCACTGGTGGTACATGTATGACTATTTCATTGGTTGACTTTTTATAAATTTTATTAGTAAAAAGATGGATGAAAGTCATTAGACTCATTTGTATTATGAATCTAGCCATGCATTTACCACTGGTGGCGCAAGTTAGCAGAAAAGTGTTAATTTTACAATGTTAACACTTAAATACACATTACAACATTTCATCTTAAAAATTTTTCATTATGCTCCCTGCAAAAGTAAACAAAATTATTTAGAATCATAAGCAAATTACATGTTGCCCTAAAGGAAAGAATATCAGAATTACACAGGTCCTGCTTTAAATCCTGGTTCTGACATTTACTTACTATGTTATCTGGAGTCTATCTTCTCATGTGTAATACAGAAACTTCAGTTCTTTAGAAACAAAAGAACTAATCAAATATGTAAAGCAACCTAAAATAATGACTGGTATACTGTAGGCTTTCAACTGTTAAGTTTCTCCTTTTAGCCACTTACCTACATTAAAAGAACAAAATTTTTATTTGGAAGTCTATGGGGTATTTTGCACATTTGTTTTATTGAGTTTCAGTGCTTAATCCTATGTTTGAAAATTTAAAATATCTTATGAGTTACTACAGCAAGACAAATTATGGAGTTTCTTTATCATATTCCACTTTTAAAAATTAGGAAATAACTACGTTTACTCAGAGTTCACTACAGAATCCCACACTGGCTGCCAAAAGGAGGGGATAAAAAGATGGCATTTAATTATGACACAGTGTTTCTAGAAATAACGTAAAAGGTACAGGGAATGGTATGATTAAAAAGCAAAATAAAAAAAGCCTTTGACTAACCTGAAGTAGTAGGCTCAATGTAGAAAAGGTAAAAACTGAGACAGAAGATAATTTTCTATTTCTTACTAATTTTCTGACCACAGTTTCATTTCGTATAACTCAGTGATGATAAAGAGAAAGCATATGTGAAACAATTTTGAAAATATCCTACTTTTATATAAATATTAGCTACTATGGTATATGAAACTTCAGCTACTAAGAGGAAGCAGGCTTAAGGGTAAAGCAAAAAGAGTTTTTCAGCATTCATGACTAGTTTTAAAAAATTGGTTTTTGAGCAGTGGATAGTACTACGTTAAATCATCCTTAACTCATAGTTACGATGTTATCTCATTCTGGATTTACCTCAGAGCTTTGAATACATCACATTAATTCAGAGATCAGGTGGAAGATTATATTCCAGGCAGTCATTCACTGAAGTTTAATTAGAATATCAAAAAACTAAAAGTAGTACTTGCTAGTGGGTGAAAAACAGAAATTAATATACAAGAGGCCTAATATATGATATAGGCAGTTTCTCAGGACAGAAGGCAGATGGGCATTTAACAAATTACTTAAATGCCTATTATATCCCAGGTTCTATGAGAAGCTCTTCAAATTTTTAATAGTAAAATCAGGTTTAAGACCAGACAATTTGTACTGTGATTTTATCAGCAGGTACCTAAGTCGTATTCAATTTAAGCTACTTGCAAAGATATAAAACCACAACCTGAGACTAGTCAATATTACTGAAAATAGCATTTAAAGCACACAAAAGAACAATAACTAAGAGTGGGTTGGCTGGCTTTCCATCTTTCAAAACTAGTCCTTCATCAAGTCTGAAGTCTGTGCTGACATCATCTGTTCTTTTAAGATTTAAATCTCTGGACTTTTAAAACTGTGTTACTCAAATATTAGTTCTACAAATATAAGAATTCATGCAATACAGAATATGTAATTAATTTAGTGTGATTTCATTTCTAAATTTGCATCATGCAGGTAATAACAAGCTTTAAGAATAATTCACGTTGGATGTTCACCATCCCTGAAGGCCGGACATGATGCTCTACCCTTGTTGCTACTTTGATAGCTCTCCACACTGCATTCTGCATATTTAAACCCTGCTTAATACACTTTGTAATACTCTTGAGGTTGAGAATGGATGACTAGCTGTTACAGTTGTCTGGCACTTTGCAAGTCACAGTACACAGGTTAACTATACTCTTAATTTAAATCACTGCAGACAACATACATTTCCTTCATACAAGACTCCTGAGAATTAGTTTTCAATATTCATCTCATTTTTCATGATCTGGAGACATAAAGGATAAATAATTGCACTAAAGACCCCATTTAACCCTTAGTTCCATGAATATTTTCTCTATTTTTGCTGTTAATGTAATGATCAAGTAAACATATTATAATAGTATCTTTTACTGAAACCCCATTTCAAATTTAGGCATGTTTCTATGGCTAATATACTGAACTGCATTTCAATTCAGATCGATTTCAACAATATTTTTTATTGTCAGGGTCAGGACTAAAAACATAAAAAGAGAAAATGCAACAAATATACATTCAATAGTGATATTCATTCACCCTAAGTCAATGAATGCTATTATCTAAGGACAGCCTTCCTTGACTGTTACTATACATAAATAACATCATTTACCTGAAGCTGTTCCACAGTTTCTTTGTGAGCTTTTTCCATACTGTTCATCTTTGTTCTCAAATTTGACTCCTGGTACTGGAAGTCTGCCTTTAGCTCAGTTAACTAAGATTAAAAGAAAAAGGAGACATATGCACATTGGGTGCGCACACATATAGGTAATTTTTGCCCATGTATACAGACCATTGAAAAATATTCTTTACAATAAACTCGTTCATTGTAAAAATAGAAGATGTTAATAGTAGTTTTATAATTCACCTACAATTTGTCTTATGAAACAATGAGTCTTGTGTACTTCACCAGAACATAATTTTAGTGTTAAGATAAAACCTGACTGGAACCAGGGAAACAGCTCAGTGAACACACCTGTCTGACAAGTGACAGGTCCTGAGTTTGATTCCCAGCACTAACAAAACAAAACAAAAAATAAAAAAAGGTAATACCACTAGCAAAACTTTTGAGAAGTTCTTTTGCTTTTGGATAGTTTGACAACTGGTATACTGAAAGAAAAGCTTAAGGAAAATACTTGACGTACGTAAGTCAAAATATAGTATACGTAAGTCAAAATATAGTATGTGTTGAACAAACGAAATGGTTAAATTGTTTTCAGGTTAACATAACCTTTTCAATAATAAAACTTTCACAAAGGGCAAGTATTTGCAAGTCGTAGTACACAGGTTAACTATACTCATATTTAAATGACTGCAGACAACATACATTTCCTTCATTCAAGATTCCTGAGAATTAGTTTTCAATATTCACCTCGTTTTTCATGATCTGGAGATAAAAAGAATAAATAATTGCACTAAAGACCCCATTTAACCCTTAGTTCCCTGAATACACTCTTTAATTTTTTGCTGTTAATGTAATGATCAAGTAAACATACTCTAGTAGTATCTTTCTCTGAAACCCCATTTCAAATTTAGGCAAGTTTCTACGGCTAATGTACCAAAGTCACCTAAGAGTTGTTTTCTTTATAAACTTTTGTCCAGGATTATACCACCAAGATGCCATTTTTACTTGAGGTAAAAACTAATTTTACTCAAGAACAAAACTAACATAGAATGAGCACAGAAAAGAATTACTATTTTAGACAAACGTAAGAAAAACTCCCCAGTGGTTTCAGGAAGCAAAGTCCACATTATTTTTTTTATAAAAACAAATGACATAAATCATGAAATATCTAACTAAAAATTGTTAAATAATTTCATTATCAGAACCATACAGAAGCAGCTTCAGGTTATTTTTAAATGTTATGTGGGTTTAAAAAATTTATATATTTATATATTTTTCTTCATAATTACCCAGTACCTAGTAAAGTGAAGGATGCATAACTTCAACAAGTCAGTGTCTTATATTCAAAACAAGACACTTTGGACAGATTCAAAGATTAACTAATTTTTATACAAGAATTCCTTTTCTGAAATGCCAATTCACACTGATCAACTAAGATAATTGTTCTACTTACTACACTATGAGTTGCTTTCAGACTATCACCTTCTGGAAGACACACATCTATCTGTTTTTATCGTCATGCTTTACACCGTGCTTGACTTTTGAAGTCCCAATAACTGTATACGAAATATATTCAGGAAAACAATTTGGTTGTCTGCGATGTACAAGAAAAAGTTAAAAATGTGCAGCTCTTTTAGATTTATAATTATTTTCCTTATAACTCTGCTAATTTCAAACCCCATTGTGTTTTGGTTGTTTTATTTTGGTTTTTTGTCTTTTGAGACCCAGTTTCACTATGCAGTTCAGGCTGTCCTTGAACTTGCTGAGATTCTCCTGCCTTAGTTTTCCATGTGCTGGAATTATAGGTATGCACCACCAAGCCCAGCCCCGCATTGGTGTTCTGTGTTTTTCTTTTGAAGAGGTATACCAACTGCAGAAAATTTCAGATACTTTCAAAACTACAGACTAGTCACAGGAAAAAAATAACTAGTCAGTAAACATAATTTATTGATATTTGGTTTCTGAATCACTGCTCTTTTGCTGAAACTTGGCATCTTAATCAACTATTTTCAAGATTAATGTAGACACAATTTGGTTGTCTCTAAAATTCTGTGCAGAGTATATTTCTATAAAATCTCAATCTTAAAAAAAAGCATTATCAATCAAAAAGAACTACAAGAAAGAGATATCCATAACTATCCTAGTTTTATCTTACATATCAATTTGAATTTTCATCCACTGAATTTACTTAAGGTATATGTGCTAAAATTTTAGTTCACTAACCATTAAAGTGTCAGAGACCATAACACAAAAGTTGTTGAACAGTAGACATAAAAGCCAACTTGGTACTACAATAGCTGCTCAGAGATAAATGATTCACATGTCTATTTATGATCATGTTTTAAACATAATTTTAAAAAGTATGTTTTTAATATTCTCTTGCTACATGAGGTATTTAACATAGATCAACCTAAACTGTCTGGGACCATAAAACAAGCACAAAAATAGGTTCTACCCTCAAAGATGACAAAAAGTTTATTAATAGCACCAATGAGCATTTATGCATCTCAGGAGCTCTAATATAATTTGCATGCTCATTTAATTATCAGAACCCTGCAAAGTAGTTTTGATGTTATTTTTAAAATAAGAAAACTAGGACTTAAAAGAAATGAAAGCATTCAGTTGAAGGTCATACAGAAAGGGTTAGAACTGTGCTTGGAAGCTGAGTATGGCAGAGTGACTTCAAAACTCTTGCCTCTAGCTCAACGCCTACTTGCTATTATATCATTCTGATTTCATAAGAAAATCTTAGATGTGTTTGTACTTCTATTAGTATTACTCTTTTCACTAAATAGACAACATATAGGATATTTCTCTTTACTTAACTGAGAAACTGAGTCCCACTAACTAAATGATCCTAAACACCTATGTGCTACTCATTACTAATGACTACTATTCAAAAAGTTACCAGACTACTTCTTGTCAGTTATTTGACTTGAAGTGATACATGTATTAGGACTATATTCAACTACTTTTTTAAATGACAAGAATTTAGACAACGTTTCACTTTTATCTCATTTACAAACATATTAAATCTTTTTTAAAATTGCATGCTGGCTAAAAACTAACGTTCAAAAATTATTACTACTCTATTAGCTCTATTATTCTAGGAAACAAAAATTTTCAAAAAGAATTTTTACTTATCTGTTAGATGACTGATTCTAATATGGGCTTTTAAAATTTATCTCATAAGAATCATATATAACAAACATAACCAAATTTTTAAAAGAAAAGTTGTTTTATCAAGCAAGAGTCAAAATGTAAATCTTATCAGGCTTCAGTGAACCATGTTCTTACCTTTTTATCTTTTTCTAAAATGGTCTGGTCTCTTTGCTGTAAGAGACGCTTAAGTGACATCACTTCTTCTTTCAGTTGACTTATAAGGACAAAATTGTCTGTTCCCCCACTATCTGCTGACTGATTTATAGAGCTACTAAAAAGAAAAAAAAAAGTAAAACATAGTTAAGTGAAGTAGAAGGAAAATTAGCAGGTGTTCAAATTGCATAAAGTAAGACAATTCCACAAACATCCTTAAGGCTAATGCAAAAAAATATGTACCTGACAGAAATGGATGCAACTGGCAAATTACCTTACTAATGGCACACATTACATACACCTGCAGAAATATAATTCAGTATTAGCTTTTAGGGGGTCAATACTTCTAGTGTAAAGCAATAGGCAGCCAATTTGTACAGTAACATCAGCAAACTTTTGGCTAATGAACTAAAACAAAGTCATACTCATATTTTAAATCTAAAAACATTTTCTAAGCAGGTCAATCAAAAATTACAATCAGATCTGTGTTTTTCTGAAGAACAATTAAGATAATGTTCTCTATTCAGATGTTTCCTTTTTGCATACCCAAATTTATTCCCCAACTAGAACAACATACTTTAGTGCCACTTTCTTATTGCCAAAATTAAGTTAAAATGTTAACTTTTCTAGATGACTCAAAGAAGTCAATGTACAGATAACATATTTCTATGCTCTTATCAGATAACTGGCAAACAATCATAGCTGCAACTAAGTTTAATTTTTGCAAACACTAAGGAATTCATTTTTACCTATCTCCATTAGATGGCTTAGATTCCAATTTAGGCTTTTTCTTTGGAGTTTCATTCTGAATTGCTGCAGAGGATTTATGGCTGAAATCAAACATTAATAATAAGAATAATTAGAGTAAAAAAGGCAGAGGCACCAAATTTTAAGTTTTCTTCCCCTAAAACAGTACTGAGTATCACTAAAAATTTTTTAAAGCCTATGTAACAAAGTTAAAGTAATATCACAATTTTAGGAATATATTTCAAAGGGCCAGGGATTTAGCCCAACAGCACAGTGCCTGCCTGGCAAACACGAGGTCCTGAGTTTGATTTCCGGTACCCATCCCCAACAAAAAAAAAGAGAAAAAATGCATTTCAAAAACTTTAGAAAATGTTAATGTATTTACCTCTGTTTCCACAGTCCCTGCTCTTGTTCTGGACTTAGATTGCTGATTCTGAAAAACATAAACAACATCTGATACTAACATGTGTTTAAACTTTTTTTATTGTCTTTTTAAGACAGGAACCGGTTCATTCAATTAGGCAGTTTGGACTGGCCTTGAATTCAGCTTTGTAGCCCAGGCTAGCCTCAAACTTGCCGCTTCAACTTCCTAAGTGTGAGATTAGAGGCATGTGCCCCCACACCCAGCCACCAATGTGTACATCATACATCTGTATTTTATAAAATGTTTTCTCCATGAAAATTATGTTAGAAATAAAATTGTATAAATCATATTCAGAGACAAAGTTTTCAGTTAAGCTAACATACTGAATAAATTCTAATCAAATTACTAGCCAACTTAAATTCTTTAGAACAGGTACTACAATGAGAGGGACCGACTTTTTTTTTCCTTAAAAATCTCTGTAATTCAACTTAATATCACACCACGGGTTGAGGTATATGAGCATAAATCTATAAAAACAGAGTTCCATAATCATCAAATCTAGGACTCACTGTACTTCAGCTGTCTTTACTATTTCATATAGGAAATGTGTATCTTTAAGGCTAACATTTTGAGGCTAGAGGTGCAGTAGAACGGCTGCCTTGCATTAGCCAGACCCCAGGCCTGATCCCCAGTATGGCTAACAAAGTGAATAACTAAATGTTTTTAAAAAATAAAGATTTATCCTGTAATCCTTAATCAAGGCTTTTTCTTTCAGTTGCTCAGAATTGTGTGGCAAGCTGGTTGAAGACTATCTTAATTTTTCAGATTCTTTTATAGTTGCCTACAAATCCTCTCCAAAGTACTGACTCTTCAGTCAATACTCTGAGGAAATCATACTGCAAATACTGGGAAAATTAATAACCATTTAATACTTTTTTATGAACCCTATGTTTCTTCCTGTTGTACCTGCTCTTCAATAAATCACTCCCTAACCCCTACCTTATCACTCAATATCTCATCTGTAAAATGGTTATTATGTATCTAGTCACATAAAATTTACTACTCCCTAGTTATGATAAGTGTTTTAAAGGGAAAAGTAAAAAAATAGACAAGAATCAGCTGTAAACAAACACAAAGGTGAAATACCTGTAATTCCACCAACCTAGTTATTTTTTATCATGGCAATGAGTGGTAAACTCCACTGAGGAATTTGTTTCTTTCATAATTTCATTACAGTGTGAGCATTAGCAAGTCACATAATCACACATGAAATAGCAGCACTAAGCAGAAATATGTTAATAATCAGTAAAAAGAAACATTTGGAATTCTCACCCTAATTTCCCCAAAGTCAAATGACCTTCGTGCCACTCCCTGCCATCATCACCATGCCCTGCCCACCAAGCACCACCTACTATAGTACCTATGTTCCTCATCTTTGTTCTAATCCACTCAATTTAAGATAGATGCCTACACAGCTGGGCCTGACAGCACATGCCTCCAACCTCAGCACTCTGGAGGCTAAGGCAGGATGATTACAGTGAGTTCGAGGCCAGCCTGGGCTACATAGCTAGTTCAGGTTGGCCTCACCTATCTAGTGAGACCTTGTCAAAAAATGACAAAATCCTACATATAAACTGGTTGTTCAAAAATGGTCACAACTGGCCATCTGTAGCTTCAGGTTCTCCATCCGAGGACTCAACCAACTGGAGATGGAGAAATGAAGTCAGGTTCACGATGGGGGTTGTTATGGTTTAAATATGAAGTGTTTCCCAAAGAATCACGCAATGAGGAGTTGATCTACAATGCAGAAACATTTAGAGGCACACTTAGAGACAGAAGTATGAAGAGGTGACTTGATCACAACAGCACTGACCTCACCAATGGTCCAACCCACTGATGAATTCAGAGCTGAATGGGCTATTGGGAACCAGATGGAGGAAGGTCACTGGGGCTTCCCTTAAAAGGTGTATCTTGTCCCTGGTCTCTTTGCCCTCTGCCACTTTCCTTCTCTTTCTGCTTCCTGGCTGCCATAAGGTAAGCAATCTTCCTTGCCATGGTATTTCTCCCTTGCAATGGGCCTAAAAACAATGGGGCCAGACAAACGTGTTCTGAAACTTCTGAAACCCTGAACCAAAATAAATCTTTCCTCTGTTGTTTCCTAAGTATTTTATCACAGCAACAAGAAGCTAACACAGATGTCACACTGAAGGAATGGATTTTCTTTATTCCCTAAATAATACTGCAAAACAACTATTTATACAGCATTTATACTGTACTGCCAAATAACAAAGAGATGATACAAGAATGGATAATCACAGGTCATACGCAAATACTATGCCATTTTATATAGATCACTGTAGACGAGTCAAACATAACTGACTCAGTAACCCTAAGAAACAGTTACTGTCATGTAGTACTAACCTTACAAACATAGTAACTATGTTGTTTTACAGCATGCTATAGCAAATTTATCTACAAAGGATGGGAAAAAGAGGCAATTTTGGCGGTCTTTTAAGGTTAGGTCTGGCAACCAGGAGTGGGGGCACACACCTGTAATCTCAGTACTGAGGAGGCTGAGGCAGGAGGATCCCTGCAAGGTTGAGGCTAGCCTCAGTTACACAGTGAGTTCACAAGGTAAGCCTGAACTGCATAGTGAGACCCTGTTTCAAACAACAACAACAACAACAAAAGAACTAAACCAAAGGCCTGGAACATACCATTCCGGTATGCAATTAGTCATTTTTTTTCCTTAAAAAGGAGCAAAAACAAGAAAAATTTATGTTCCTTTGGTCCTTAAGATAATCTGATAAAAGGCTCTAAGATTTCTTCAAATGCCAGGTTATAATCACTGTCCTTGGCCCTGCAGTCTACCACTGTCATACCTAGAAACCCCACAACAGTAAAAGTGACAATATAAAATAAAATCTTCATCAGCTTAACAAGGGCTTGTCAATCTTATTAGAACTATTATGTGTTGCAAAATATCCTAAACATCCATTGACTATTTAAACAGTGTTCTTGTCTTTTAAAAAATAATGAATTATCACTAGTTACAAACAGTATTGCTTACACTTTGAGAACCTCTAAGAATGCTTCTAAGCAGGTGGGGATGGATGTAGCTCACTTTTACTGTGAGCAAAGTCCTGGGTAAAATCCACATAAGAAAAAAAAAGAAAAAAGAAAAACAAGAAGAGAAAGAAAAAAAGCTTCTGTTACATTACAAACGATAAAGCTACAATGCGTTCTGCATGAGAGACTGTATACTTTTCAGTTACTGGTGTAAATATGCAAAAATGAAGACATTTTTAATAACTGAAATCACTGAAGTGTTATCTGATACACTTCTATTTTTGACTTTTACTTATAACCATTTTACAAATTTATTCCATAAATGTTCTATAATTGTAATATACAGCTAAATAATCTGGATGTATAGTTGTAAATACTTCATAAAGTATGGAGGCAGTCTAGACTCAAGAAATTTACCAAAGATCATGTAAACAAGTCTAGCACCCCGTCAACATCTGCAAATAAACACCAGTATAAACACTGATATAGCATTAAAATGCCAGAAAGCGTTTTAGAAGATGTCATTTTGAAGTACTTACTTGTGATGGCTACTGCTGTGACGATGGTGATGATGGTGATGGTGGTGATGATGTTTTGAATGATGCTGGTCTTTTTCAGTAAGAGATGATGAAGAAGAATTTGAATGTGAAGATCCCAGGCTCTTCCTTTGTTCTTTTGTCTTCTGTAAAACTCTCTTATATGACAAAGTACAGAGCCAGCATAATAACTTTCCATCAACCTTTTAAGAAAATATTTGTATTAAATTAAGCATATGTGTAAGCTGGCTATAAGCGAAATCAAGTAAAACAATGTTCAACTTCCAATTACACTGTACATACACATGCAAAAATTAGTGAATGCATGCATTCAAAATTTTTGCAAAATCAAAGTAAAATTTACACTTTTCTGAAACTTGGGAAAATGCTTGTTTAAAGGATTATAAAATTGGTGAGGCTGATTGATGTACTTCCATTAGTTTTGAGGCATTTTTAATTTGAAGAGAAACAAGTTACCTTTATTCTTAAAAAATAAGCACAAATAACTAATACACTTTCACGCAATCTAGCCTGAATTCTATTTCTGTGTTAATTATCAAAATTTTCCACAACAGTAAGTATTGTGAATTTACAGAGAAACAAGAAAGCTTAAATAATATATACAATTGATTCTCATTATTTCCAGACTGCCTGTTTGCTAAAAGGTATCTGTAACCCAAAATACATATTTGAAATACATTTGCAGTTATTTACACACAGATAAGAGTTATGAAAACTTTGTGTCACCAGATAGCATACATTTCTGCTGAGGCAAGGTGATTACACTTCCTTGCTTTAGCTCTTATACTGCAAACAACTGTCCTTTTCCTGACATTTGGTACTGTGTTTTTCAGGCTTTTATGCTTTGTGTCAGTGATTCTGATATGCTTGAGATGGTCATAAGGGACAGTGTTGAAATGTTGTGTAGCACTCCTAAGCTCAAAAAGGCTGTGATGTGCCTTACAAAAAAAAAAAAAAAAAAAACACGTGTTAGACAAGCTTTGTGCAGGCATCACTAATACTGATAGTCATGAGTTCAATTAATAATACAAGGCATCATTAAACAAAAACACAAAATAAATTATGCACTTGTCAACTAACATAGGCAAGAATTTAATTTTATATTTCCACAGGAGCCATAGCTCAGTAATAGCCAATTTAGGGTTTCTGGCCACTTCACAGAACACAAATTACTGCAAATAACGAGAATCAATTGTATGTAAATCAGGGGGAGAGGAAAAAGACTTCTTTCCAAATTAAGACAAAAGCTACAAAAAATAAAATAGGGTTTTTGTCTTCTGTTCGTTCAGACAAGAATTGCTGGAGGGACATGTCTTACAACTAAGGTACATACATTGCTGTGTGGGGACCTGAGGGAGCCCTTCAAAGAGACAGTCATCCTCCAAATCAACTGAAACTGATAGACAACAGGAGGCCTGTGTGAATGCTCATCAGCAGAGGAATGCCACATGCATAAACAAACTTATTAGGTCACTGTGGGTAGAGAAAAACAAACAATGGTTTCAAATATGAACCCATATCAAAAGGCAGAAGATTAACTTTGAATTTAATGTGATAATGTGTCATCAGATGTTGTTGCTATCAGCAACTTCAAGTGACCAGCACATGGGCGTTTAGGTGAAAAGATTTACTTAATTAAATCCTCTTGACCCACTGGGACAACCAAATAGTGCAGGAACAGTCACAGAATAACCTTTCTTTTTTCTTCTTTCATTTTGAGATATGGCTTCGTTATGTTGCTCAGGCTGGTCTTTAACTACTGGGCTCTACCAATCCTTATGCCTCAGCCTCCCAAGTAAATGGGGTGGTAAGGGTGCAACTGGCTTGAATAATTTTAAAAATACATTAATGCAATTGATCAACAAATTTGATATATAATGCAAAGGAAAAAAATTCACTTTTCCTATCTTGTAATCTAATAATCTGCTTTCAGGCATCCAAAGAACAGATCAATTCTCAAGTGTATTAAGTATAGTTTTTAACCTGTTTGGTATTAACTTCCAGATGTCATAATATGAACAAAACATACCTTCCTTCTTCCTTCCTCTTTCCGATCAAAAGCACATTGTTGCTTGCACTGTTCACAGGTCTGAGGTGGCCCATACTTTTTTTCTGAATTTGTGCAACGCTGACATTTGGTACCAATAAACGCTGCAATTATGTTACAGTATTGACAAGGTTTGGGCTGAAAAATAGTTACATATTTTTTTTTTTGAGACACTTGAAATAAATATTTGCTGCACAAAGTATATCCAATGTTACAGAAACTTTGGGGATGAAGGAAACTAGTCGGTAAAAAGTTTGTTTTCTGCCAAGTATGTTACCTCGACAATGACATTCATATCTCCACTGATTCAAGTAATACTGAGTCATGAAACTACTACTCTTCTATTTAAAAACAATCATAAGATACATACTCTATTTGCAAGGCATGTAACACAATACATAAGTTTACTCAAAATGTGCTCAAAGAATGAAAATAAAGATACTATATGCTTCAAGAGAAAAGTCTCACGTATTCAGAATTTGAATGTAGTAAGCTTTTAATTTAACATCCTGGTTAACACAATTACAAAATCATTTATTCAAACAGTAATTTTTAACTATAGATGACACAAAAATAGATACTATTGTTTTCTATTTCAAAAAGTGGCATAAGCACATTCAATATAAATTACGGGGAGTATCCCTGGATTTTCTCAGTCAGTCAAAAAAAATTCAGGATAGTATACACCACTAAGATCAGCACTTTGAACAGTGATAAATAACACCAACTACTAATTTGTGCTAGGATACTGTCCTAAGTTTTGTGAAAAATACCTGAATTATGCAGCCATTTAAAAATAACTTTTAAGAGTACAAAGGCTGAGCATGCAAATAAGTGGGTTCTCTACAATACTGAGTTTGCTTTATTTGAATCTTTAACAGTGAAATTCAATGGACAGTACTTAAAAGACGGACACAATCTGGCAATTTTTAAATGTTGTCACCTCATCAGACTTGTTTACAGAAATTTTATTTCATGAAATTTCTTTTTTTTTTTTTTGGTCTTTTTCCTTTTTATCAGTACCAGGGATCAAACTCAGGACTGCCTGCTTGCAAGGCAGGCGCTTATGCCACTGAGCTAAATCCCCAGCCCCCATGAAATACACAACAACATGGCATGACATATTTTTTTATAAGCTTGGTGAAAAACATTAACCGACCAGTAATAATAATAGTAAGTGAAAACATAAGACTTACTGTCCCAAACTGCTTCACATTTTGAGCACACTTCTTACAAATTGTATTAGTTTTGCTGAAAAAAAAAGTACACAGATATGATCACATTTCTGTAGCTTTCTGGCATAACTGGGACAATGTTAAACAAAAGTAAATGGATAAGTCAACGATTCATACTGCTTTAAAACTTATTCTACCTGAGAGCAAGTACTTTTTAAAAAATGTGAATATAAGGATATTTTTAGGTTTTACGTAAATTTCTTTAGTTAACAAAGCAAAAAGAAACTTTACGTCTTGTCTCCAGTCCCAAAATCTTCACACGTGCCATTATTAAAGTACAGGATTACATGTCAGTGCCAACTTAACCTTCACGAATACATTTTCTATTTGTCTTCCTAAGTTAATTTCTTCTGTGTTCCAAAGAGAACCCACCTGTTTAAAAGGTTCCACTGTTCTCTCACTGCTAACAAGTTACAGTGGCAGTTGGAAGGCAGCTGGTAACCCTACTAATCCCTCCTCAGGCCCATTTACATTTTACCTTTTTTAAACAGATGAACAGTAATTGTTTATATTTGCAGTTTTGCAAGTAAGGCTTTACACTTTCTGCTCATTAATTTACCCTTCATTTCCTCATATGTAAACTTCAGTTTAGTTGTAAAATAACACCCACTTTGGTTTTGGCCAATACTCTCACAGTCTACGTTTATGACTTAAAATCTTACAAGCTAAATCATTTTTTAAAAAACCTTCAAAATACAAGAATAACACTCAATTCCTTACATATAATTTGTTTTTTACAGTCAGAAACTGTTCATTATACAAACCTCTCTTGTTGAAATTCTGATCTGCAGTAAGTACATTTTACAATAGGATGTGCAATCCGACATTCCTGTAATAAGAGAATACATTAGTCAGTACCTCAGAGTCCCAAATCTCATTTTGTCGCAGAAAATTATTACCCTATCTAGCCAAATGTCTAAAACATCAGAAAGACCTGTCCCCAATGTTAACAACTGCATGACTTATCATATAAATGGCCAAACACAACATAATCCCTTAGGGAAGGTATATGTGTCTTTGTCTTTATTAGACGTAGAAAGTATGTTACAGATAAATTAAGAAAGCTGTCAGAACTGATTTCAAGGGGTGGTTAAATGTGAAACTACTTATTTTGCACCGTTGCTCACAGACAGCATCCTGGCTTTAATGGGATGGGAGGAGCTCCAAATCATAGAGCATTCTGTTCCCAAACCAGTCGCTTCGCTTTCCTGGACAGGGAAGGATGCCATCAGCTTTGCGGCTTCGGGTTCCTAGCAAGAAAGTGCAAAAACCGTCCCCTGCCTCCTGGTGGAAGGAGAGGACAGATCCGGCAGAAAACTTGAGATGAAAATATCTCCACCTCAGGTCTCTGTGGCACAGACAGGTGTCTGCCTCCTCCAGCCCCACCCGAGACCCTCGGAAGCCGATGGGGCCCGGGTACACTTCTGGGTGGTCTGGGAAAGGGCAGGATGCTGGCTTTCCCTCATGCGTTTTTCCCACCTGATGCCCAGGCTCTGGGAAAAGGAAGTCTGGGGTGAGGGATGGGGGAAACTGGGGCTCCAGACTCCCAAATCCCCAAGGCGAAGGCGACAGGCAGGGTGCAGGGCAGCGGCCACCCAGCCCCTCGGCATACGGCAGAGGAACCCCGCCCGCCCGGCGCCCACGGACCTTGCAGAGCTGCTGGCCCTGGGAGAGCTCCTCGAAGGGATAGCGCTGGGTACACTTGGTGCAAGCATACAGGGCCGAGGCCGCCATCCTGCTCCTCAGTCTCCTCCTCCACCGCCGCCCGCGCCAAGGCGGAGCCCTACGGCGAACTCAGGCGCCGCCGCCGCCCGGGCCGCGGGCTCCTCCTCCACCCCCTCCCCCTGCCCTGCGCCCACCTGGGCCTCGCAACAAGAGCGCAAGGTCCCGCGGTCGCCACCGTCTCCCTCCGCCTACACTTCCGCCCCAGCCCACCCACTGACGCCGTCCCAGCCGCTCCCGCTTAGGCCCCGTAGCGGCGGAGGGAGACGGAGTGGGCAGTTCGCTGCGGTTTAACTGCGCGGCCGCGGATCCGCTTCCTTCTTGGCCTTGCTTCTCCAGTCCTGATTGGTTGCGGCGGGCTCTGCGTCAGCCTGCTGCCCCGCCCAAACCCTAGCCGGGTGACGCAGAGCGCCCACAAAGGAAGCCAGGCGCCGGCCAATGACAGCCCAACGCTCCCAGCGCGCGAACTCCGCTTCAAACCTGCCCCGCCCACGGCCGCGGCCCATGTTAGTTCAGCCGCCAGTCCCAGGTTGAAGTGAGAGCGCCTTGACTCAGTTGGGCGTGTGTTCGCGAAGGTTGCGCTCTAACTTCTTTGACTTCCACTGGGTCCAAGTCTTTAAGCACCTCCTAGTCTTATCTGTTATTGCAGTACTTCACCTGGAGAGGCGTCTCCGAGTCAAACTCACGCTCTCTGGCGTTTAATCCAAGGGAATTGATGGGGTATTTGAACATTCCATTCGCTGTTAGTCTGCTTCAGTCTTTCGACTCAGTTGCCATTAGCGATAGCACCACCCCTAGCCCATACTTTCTCCTCCAGGTCAACACTGCAAAATTCATTCACCTAAAGACTCGTAGAGTTCCCATCGCGCAGGCGCGGCCGCGCTCTACCTTGTGACGTCACTGGGGAAGAGGTGGGATTTCTCCTACCACACGGAGACGTCCTCTCTTTTGATTGGTTATAAAGCACGTCTGTTAGGACGTGTTGCCCTCTCCGCGTGCACTCTGTGCGTGGGCATCCCGTTGGTGTTGTGGCGGGGGTGTAGTAACCCTGGCAAGCAGCACCCCCGCCCCTTCCATCTGGGGTTCCTGTTAGGGTCGCCCCTGGTGGGCGGCTCTAGAATCTTGAAGAAGAACTCGAGAACGCAAAGCGGAGGCACGCGTTGTGCGACCAGAAAAATGGCGGCGGCGTCGGTGTCTGTGGCTTCTGATTCTCAGTTGTCGGTGAGTGGCGGTCGGCGTTCAAAGACGCTCCTGGTAGTGCGGCAGCCTTTGCGCCTCTCCTTACGATTGGTTTAGGTGATCCCCGGACCAAGTTCAGACTGCAGCAGGCATTGCCTCGACAGTCTCCCGCCACTCAGATTTCCAGTGTGCTCTGTGAGGCTGCACCCTCTGGCTTGCTTCTAGACGACAACTGTGTAGCTCTGGTCCGTTCCTTGGCCTTTGGAGCTAGCAGCCCAGGTAGTCATGTTCTGTTGTGGCTCGGTTGGCGCGGGAAGACCGGGCTCCGTTGGTCACGTGAGTGTAACGGCCCCTCTTGGAAACTCGCCGAGACCAGGTAGTCGCGTTAGTTTAATAGGTCGTCACCGAATAGCCTGAAGTCTCGAGAGTGCGTTTTATTCGTTCTTAGGCTTCTTCCTTTGCCTGCATTGTTAACTCTCCCGTCATTAATACTGCTTGCCAGATCCTCGTGGCTAGAGCCCAAATTTCCACGGTATTCCTGGGGGGATTGTACGGTGAAGATGCTGTTTGGGAGAGACGACAAGGGGAACTGATTTTAGATGTTTTCGCCTTCATGAGGGTCACTAGTCAGTTTAATGATCAATGCTTATGAAATTGGAGTGTCGAACTGAATCTTTTGGAAAATGCCGCTGCCGCACTGAGAAAAGATAAGTAAACGTGACAAAGCACAATTTGGAGCTCTTTTAGAAATGCTCAGTCATCGACCGTCTGTTAGGCTCTTAAAATTACCTGCGTGAATATGGTAGGAGCCAGGCACCGAAAAGAAGCTACGTGTAATTAGGTAACTACAACTCCGCAGTGTAGTTTGGTGAGTGCTACTATTGCTGGGCTAGTCCAGGATAATTAACAGTGCTTAGATAGGCTGGAGGTTTGCTAGAAAGGAAGATGGATTTAACAGCCTGTTTAAGAGTTAAAGTAGAGTTTTCAAAAATAGAAGAAAGTGCCCCGAGCATTTTGGGTAATGTGTTGAGACAGTAAATGACAGTAGTGAGGGAGGTGATAAGAGGTTGATAAACTGGAAAAGTACGCGAAAACGTGAGGAAAGACTAACAGTGAGGAAAGGAGTTAGAACAGCAGGATTATCTCATGAAACTAAGGGAAAGAGTGTAAGGGAATGCATTCACTCTGGAAAGTCACACTTTTCCTCAGCTTTGAGGTTTAGGTGGCTGTGATAATGAAGCCAAAGATATTACAGTGTGTCAGTGGAAGGAGGGCAACAAGTTTGCGAATGGTTGAGGAGATTAAGAAGTAACCAATGAAGCAATTGGAGTTCATTCGGGAATTCGATCAATAGAAGGTAAAAAAAAATACAAGAGGAACTGCAGAACAAGTATTAAGGTGGATGAATTACATAGGAAGTGTAATGAAACTTTGAAGAGGAGAGTTTCTATTGCTTTCAAAACTTAGCATTTGGAGACCTAACAATGAATGGTTAATGTTGAGTTGAGCTGAGCTTTTCCTCTGGGGTGTAGTGAACCCTAGTCCTTATGGTAGAAATCTCAAAGAACATTTATGAAGAAAGCATGTACGTTTTTGTGCACTAAATTCAGCTTTTAAGTGAATTCTAAGTATCAAAAGTACACTGAAAACATCTGAAATTGTCTTACAATTCAAAGTATCTTCTTAATCACCTTGACCTGCTACATCAAAATTTGTAACTTGGGAGCTGTTTGTTTTTCAAAAATGACTATTTTGTTTCTCTGGTGCCAGAAATGTCCCAGTTTAGAAATAAGCCTACCATGCTGGGGATGGTGGTGCTGGCTTTGAAACTATAACATGAACCCTTATATTCAGATTCAGGATTGTGAACATTAGCAACCCGTGTATTCCACATTGATAAACCCAGCATGGAGTTAGTTATAGTAAGTGGTAATGCTTTTATCATACAAGGATTTTTTAAAACAAGTATGTATGTATCTAACAGTCTGTTGGAAGTAGCTACAGTGTGTCAAATGTGAACATGGAAAGCAAAGTTTCAATTTGTTTTTAAAGTGTTTGTTCTTTCGCTGCAACAGCAGCAGGTAACATTTGCTGTTATCAACTCACCTGTGTATCCTAATTCATGCTAAATAGACGCACAAGCAGGGCAGTATTAAAACAAGTCTCTTGTAGTGGTATCTTGTTCTTCTAATTTGTGTTCCTCTAATCATTGAAGATCTTTTTCTAGACCTTTACTATTTTTTCTATTTCTTTTATGAAATGACACTTGCATGTCTTTGCCTGTTTTTTACTTGGATTGCTTTTGACAGATTTGTAGGCATTTATGTATTCTGGATGTTAATTTTCAGTCTGTTAGGAATATTTCAAGTGGACTTGGGCATGTCTTATCTTTTGAGTAATAAGAACCCTAATCTTAACATAGTAGTAAAATTTTTCTTTTTACAATTAAGAAAATTTTCTGTCTTTTCAAGGCCTTGACTACCATATTCTAAATTTTCGTTTATAGATTTTAAAGTTGGAAACTTAAAATCCTTAATTTACTTGGCATCAATTTATTCAGTGCAATGTTTTTAAGATAAACAACTGCCACAACACTACTCTTTGAAAACTCATCCTTTCCCCCAGTGGTTTTTAATTTTGTCAATATATTAATTTCCATGTGTGTATGTGTATGTTGCTGTGTTCTCTATCCCATTTTGTATTTGTTTCTAAGTAAGTATTCATTATCTTATTATTCTTTTGTTTATTTGGGGAAGGCAATTATCTTCTACCTGTGATCATTAATTTTTCTTAGTTTTTACTTTGTATGATCTTTAGTTTCCTAAGTTACATTTTTTAACTAATCCATAAGAATTAGTGTTTCTTGCATGTTGATTTTACCCAGCTACTTTGCCAGTCTCCAATTAATGTTAATTGAACATCCTTTGGTGTTTTTGTTGTTATTTAGATAGTTATAGTCTATGAGATTTGGTCTTCCTTTTCAGTTGCATTATCTATTATATCTTTTCATTACCCTACTGTGTAAGCTAAGAGATGTATTAAAAAGTTGACCAGTTCTTCATTTTAAAAGGAATTGTTTCAAATTTAAGCGTTAAAGCTTTTTGCCTTTTTTTAAATTGTGTCATAGTGCTATAGAAAAATTGTCCTTTTCCTGGACATTGAACTTAACCGAATTTTCATTCACATTTCTTAATGATCATACAGATTTTTACTTTAATGGCTTACATTAAAAATGTTGTACTAATTAGCTAGACTTGCATTCTTAGAGTAACTTCCCTTTGATCACCATTTTATGTAGTTGGTGTGGTTTGGCAATTTTTTTTAGGACGTTTACATAGGTTTCTGAAGGGCTGGGGATTTAGCTCAGCAGCATAAGTTCCTGCCTGGCAAAGGCTAGGTTGTGAATTCGATCCTCAGTCCTCCGCAGCCAAAAAAAAATAGTCTCTGAGGAAATAATGTCCTAGAATGTTTCTAACATTGATTCCAAGTTCTCTCTGAATCTGTCTCAGAGTAACTGTGCAAGTGTTGAATTACCTGCTGCTTAAATGTTCTGTAAAACTCAAATTCTCTAAAACTTGCATTGAGATCTTGTGTGGCACCTCATGCCTGTAATCCTGGAATTTGGGAGGCTGAGGCAGAAGGACCAGGAGTTTGAGGTCAGCATGTACAGAGTGACTCCATGTCAAACAAACAACAGAAAAAAAATGAGTTATATTTTTTAGTATAAATAATGAGGGCTGGGGAACACAGCTCAGCGACATAAGCACAAGGTCATGAGTTCAATCCTTCAAAAAAAAAAAGTAAAGAAAAAGTGGATTCCCTCTACTGTCTCTTATCAGAGGAACATGTGTACAGGCCAAATGTGTCATAAGTATATGTGGTTTAAATTTTTGCAAATTAATACAGTATCTGTGTTTTATTTTTCAGAATATCTTAGCTGAACCATCAAAGTCAAATGGAAATATGGTTCATCGTTCTTCGTCTTCATATGTATTATATCCACCTGATAAACCTTTCCTTAATAGTGAACTACGTCGCTCCCCAAATAAGCCTACATTTGCCTATCCAGAAAGCAATAGCAGAGGTAAATAGATCCTAACAATGGATATAATTCATGTTTTTTCACTGCTTTAAAAGTTTAATTTTATTCTCTTTAGTTTTGGAATTAGTATAGATACTTCTTCTATTTCTAGCTTCAAAATATAATAGTGGAACATTGGCATCTACAGAACTATCTTGAGTACTCTATGCCAAGTCTCATATGTAACATGAGTCAGGAACCAAGACAGTATTGACTTCTGAAATTTCAAAAGGTTATTGTTTTGTCTCTTTAAAATTTGTTTTGGTTCGCATCATATTTTGCTTATATTTCCTAATGTATTCCTAGCTAATAATATGTCAGTGTACTCCTGGCCTGCTGTCTGCTTTTCATCCTCAGTTATCTTAGGTACTTCCTTGTTCCTGGGACAAAATACCTGACATCCACAAGGTAAAGGAGAAACGGTTTATTTTAGCTCAAATTTGTAGAGGTTTCATAGTCCATGGTCCAGTGAATCTAGGGCCACGTGGCTTGGCAGAGAAGAAGGGTCCATGGTACAAGATAAACATTCCCATTCCAAATAGAAAGGTAGAAAGGAATGGGACCAAAACAAGACTGAAATTCAACACGGCCATCATTAAGTCCTACTGTTCTTTGTGTAGCAGCCACGACAATCTGCAGCAAGATGTGAATTCGGAAGGGATTGAGCAGCTCTACCCCTACAGCACTGTTGATGGTTATAGCTCTAATGGCTCTCTGTTGGGCCAGCTTTGTTCACTCCTTATGATTTTCTGCAGACAATCCATGTTCCTGGCTTCTCCAACCTTGAAGGGTCTCCACTGCAACTTTGGCTTTGCCAAATGCCCTGTTGGACACACTACCTGGTCCCGCAGGCCTTTCTCTGATATCTGAGTGGAAGCATTTGTAACCCCACAACTCTTGCATTCTGTTTGTGCCTTAAAACAGTACCATGTAGATAATGTCAAGGTTTCCTGACAGCTGAAGCAGTAGCCAGGCTTCTTTTGGCTGTAGAGTTTTAGTGGCTGGGTTGCTGATTGCTATGAACCCAATCCTGAGAAACGAATTGCCTGCGTCATCACCATTCTGGAACATGTTGCTCCGGGGCTGTCTTCTCAATGCAGTCTTTTCACCTTTCCAATTTTGAGGGACCAGAGGCTGAAATCACACTAGTTCTTGAGATGTCCTTGAGCTATCTTTTTCTGTTGTGCAGTTCTAAAGTATCTATGTTCTGTCTACTCTCCCTTGAACTGTTTCTCATCTAACGTACCACCCTTCCTTGGAGCCAGCTGCCTGGACTGGAACCTCTACAAAATAAATCTTTCCTACTTTAACTTGTGGGTGTCAGGTATTTTGTTATAGTATAAGAAAGTAAGGCACTAGTTAACGTTGTTATTCATCATAGTCTATTCTATCTTTAAACAAAGAATTTTGATTCCTTTTCATGGTTCACATAATAATAGTTTTAGATTTCACATAACTTATATCTCGTTTGCCTTAATAATGTCATCTCTAACCTTTTCTTTTTCTTCCTTACTCATACATTCTGTGCTCTGGCTAGTTTGAAATACAATTTGTATCTGGAACTTAACCATTCTGCCTCAACAAAATTCTACAAATTATAGCAGTTTTAAATAACATATATTTAGTATGTCACAGTTTCATCAGAATTCTAAGTAGTCTCATCTAACACCTGTACTTAGAGTCTTTACAGGCTAAAGTTAGAAGAACCAACAAAGGCTGTGCTCATTACTTGAGGGTTGGAGAAGTTCTGCTTCTATGCTCATTCATAGCTATTGTTAACGAAATACTACTATAAAAAGCAAATTGGAGATGTGGGGAAGTGGATGTATCTGGAAAATATATTGAGTGAAATAAATCAGACCCAAACTTAAAACACCATTGTAAGAGCTCTCATTTGATTAAGGCAAAATACAGAGGAAGAGCACAGTAAGGTATAGGAGAGGTGAATCTCTTGCAAATACAGAGGTATTCAAAAGAATATTGGGAGGAGGCATAGAATAAGGTATGTTATATACAAGAACTTAATAAAAATAACCTCAGTGAGTATAGAATTGTGTGTGTCTATATATTTTACCAGGAGCATATCTCATTCTCCATTTTCCTATAAAGTTGGTATTCTTCATGGAAAAGAAAAAATAAAACTTGGTAATGTAGGACAAAATAGCAAACCAGAAAACAAGAGACAGAAAAAATCCTCAGACAAAATTAGTCCAAAAATATTCCTCTCCTCTCAGGTGTTTGAATGGGTAAAGCTTCTTTCCAGGACCTGTGGTATTGGAATCCACAAGGTATGCAGAGAGAGCTATTGAGTAGTGGGGCCTGTTGTTTTCACACCCACTTAACAGGTGCTGATTTGAATACTGAATTCTGCTCTGCATTGCCCACTGAGTGGGTCCTTTAGGTGACACCTGCTTCAGGACTGTGCTTCTTCCAGAGGCTTTCAGTGTTTGTGTTATTCTGTGTACCTATCACCAACTAGTTTTGCATCCTGTAGGCTGATGAGGTGCCCTGTTTGTTTTAGTTAACACACTCCCTACACCTCAAGCTGAAATCCCCAGTCCCCTTAGAAAACCACCTGAGACAGGCTTGACCGTCACTCACAAAAAAATTAAAATCTTTGAAGTAACAGGCTCACTTCTTCCATTTTTGGGGAAAACGACTGCCAGATATAAGTCTGAATATCCTTGTTTTATCAGAAGTACTTTCAAGTAAAATGACATTTTGTTTGGAAAGGCTTTTGTTTCAAATTCACTATTAAAACATCTGTGCAAGTTCTTCATTGAGATTGTTGTCCTTTGGTTATGTATATCCCATTTTCTACACACTAAAGAAGGTACTTGTATTTCCTGTAATGTCATCATTTCGTATGTCTACACAATACAGAGAACCTAAAAGTCTTAACTACTATTGTGAAAGTAATACTGACTCAATAGACCCTGGGAAATGTCTCATAAACCCTGCCTTCTCTGGGCCTATCCCTTATGCTTTGAAAATCACAGTAATAAACAGTGAGTACACCCAGAATATTGCTTAGTTTCTGTAAATAGTTCTGCAGGATGCAGGAAGAATGCAGATGACATGTGTTGTAGAATCTGCATAATAGCTCCTTAAGGGCAGAACCTTTGTTATCTCCACTATAGCCCTTATCTATTAAATATGGTCTACAGATTTTATTGAATTGAAGTTTACATGACATTGTTTCTTTCTAAACTTTCTGAAACCCTTTCAGGGAAGGCTGAGTACAGTAATATCTTGGTACATGCTACTTTTTAAAAATGTCGGTATATGTTTGTAGTATATGATGACTTTTTTATGCGAATCAACTATTTTGGCACATTTGTCCCTGTTCTCCTCCTCCCACATTTATTGTATAAGCTAGAGGTTGTTGGTGTCCATTGCCTGGTGATTCACTACCTTTTCCAGCCAAAGCAATTTGATGCTTATCATTTTTGGTATTTGTGCCTTTTAGAACTACTTAGTAAGAAGGGCCTGTCATGGTAACACTATTATGTAAGGAAAATTAAGCATCTTCTTTCATTTCTATAGTTTTCCTGTGTTTGCATTCTCATGTGTAACCAAAACACATTGAACCTTGAACAGATATGTTCAGAAATATTGCATATAGGGTCAGAGATACAGCTTAGTGACACAGTCATGAGTTTGATTGCCAGTACCACACATAAGTAGTATGTAATACGGAGGATAAAAATTTCACATATAGCATATGCTTTGAAGAAAATATATTCAGGAAATGAAATAGTGTTATATTTTAGTGTATCCTTTTTTCTTCACCTTTTTTCTCTTTCAGCAAATATTTAGGGGTTTATTTCTTTTTCCACAAATACATTCCCTACTCTTTTCCCAATATATAAAGTTTAAAACTTTTGAATTGCTCCTGTTCATTTCCACATAGAGTATATGTCACTCAATAGTATTTCTAATTAATAGGACTATAAATGGTACAGTGGTTTTGCCCTCATGTAAGAGTGGGCAATACACAGGAAGAAAACAGAATAGCTTAGATACTGATGTAAGAAGAGAAAAGGTATAAAATCTATTACTTGATCACCTAGAATGAGTGTCTTAATTTGAAACAGACAAGTTTGTTAAAAATATAAAACTGAAAGCGTATGTTAAATCCAACCCTTGAAGATATGGCTGTAAATCACATAGGTCCAAAAAATCTGAAATTAATGAGAAAATGAGACCGAAGTAAAATGTTTCCATTGATAGAATAAAATTATCCATATCTGATAGGTTTAAGAAAGCTTGGAAAAGTACAATCACAAAAAATTTAGTCATCTGTGATAGAGATGAACTAGCTTTGGTAAAGAAGAATATTTCTAGTTTACAGACATAGAGAAAGATTGAACAATTAAGACAGGAAGGACAAGTATACAGGTAGAAAGATACGTTTAGCAACACCAGGGACTAGAGATTCATAAGTGACCACACTTTCTGAATATTTTCTACGTTTAACTAGCCTTATTCTCTATTTCTTCTGACTGCCTCTTTCCCACATGGTAGGAAACATAGCAGTTAAGTAACTTTTGAGTTGTAGGTTGAGTCAGATATGCTTTCAACTTTTATAGAAAAGTTTGAAGAAGACAACCAGATGGGCTTTAGTCTGTTCTACAGTTGAGTGTCCTTTGTGTATCAAATATCCAGATTTGTGAAAAGGTAAAATAAAACAACAAAATTGTTTGTTTTAAGTTATGATATTTTTTAAGCTGTGCTGTTATAAGAAATTGCGAGAAAAAGCTGTGGATAAGCCAAGCAAATAGTTCAGAGCTATATGCAGTTGCATAGTAAAATGTGATTTAAAAACTACAAAATAAAAAATACCCCAAAAGTTTAGAAATGCTTAAATTGAACAGATATTAAAGAACATTAATCTTTAAACAGCTATCTTGTCCTCATATTTTTTTTTTGGTTGATTTTTCAGGTTCTTAGGCAGATATGTATATGCATTTTATGTGTGTATTCTTTCCAGTTAGGTTGTAATCCCATCAATACCAGAAAGATTAAGGTGACTATTTTATAAAGTGTTTTGAGTATCCTGCATTGAACTTGTCATATCTTAGACATTAAAAAAAAATGTTGAATGAATGAATTATATCAATAAGTAGAAAAACATGCCCTGTGAAGAATAAGAAAACTAGATTCTTAGAATTTTTTATGATATTTCTTCCTAACATAAATTTGTATTTAGGGAGAATGATTCTGAATAATAATTGATAACAGTAGTTTTTAAATGTTTTAAATATTTATATAATATTTGGCAACATTGATACTAAAGTTTTGATAGAAAGTTCTAAAACATTTTTGGGGATGTGTGTAAATAATTGATTGCATGTATTAATATGTGAATTTGGTTTACGATAAATTATAATAAAGATTTTTGTCATAAAGTTGCTTCTTGTTTTATTTAAAATTTAAATGTAGAATTCTATGAAACTGTAATGAAAGAATATGTGAATATGTAACATATTTTGAGGTTAGGAAGCAATTACTAAGTATTAACAAATAAGTTAATAAGCAATTAATAAGTATTAACTTGAAATATTAGGTATAACTGTATGAAAAAAATCAAAACATCAGCTGTTCAAGTTGACACCAAAAGTAGAATTAAAGATATTTTAAAATGGAAGAAAGGAATCTTTTTTTTTTTCATAGAAAAGTGGGCAAACGAAATTTATGAAAGAAAATTGGCCAGAAATTTATATGAAATTGTTGACTCTAACAAAAATACCAAATTACCAGAAGAAGCATCTTTTTCTTGTCAAAAGACAAGAGAGTTTTGTAATTCATAGTCTTGTGTTGGCAAAAATACACTCTTGATGAAAGTATAAAGTGATGCAGCTTGGAGGTGCACTGTTTCATGAATATTTAAAATAAAAGTATTTTTGAGCATTTTTCAATTTATAGATATTTCTGAGGAAATTTTAGAACTATATAATTTTTGAGTGATTCCTGTTTTATAGTGCTAAAATAAAAAAGCAAACCTATATGCTTTTTAATTTTTTTAGTTTACACGTTTATCAATAGATAGAACCAAAAATGACAGTCATTATTTCTGCGTAATAGATAATTGGTGGTGGTTTTCTTCAGCGTGTTTTCCTGTGTCTTCTACTCTTTTTATAATAAATATATATTATATCCTAAAAATAGGTTTCCTAAAAAATACTGTTTAACAAAGTTCTTTTCATGGTTGCTTATGTTTAATTCTACAATTGGATTTTTTATGTAATCATGCAGATAAAAGTTAATGTTCCAAGAATGGTCTTTCACTGGACTCATTAATAGGTTTTAATTTTTTGGTGAATTTTCTCTTTATGTTGTCATCTTACAATATCTGTTATATATTTGGCAGCCATATTTTCTGCTCTAAAGAATCTTCAAGATAAAATTCGACGCTTGGAACTTGAGAGGATTCAGGCAGAAGAAAGTGTGAAAACTTTGTCTAGAGAAACAATTGAATATAAAAAAGTACTAGATGAACAGATACAAGAAAGGGAAAACTCAAAGAATGAGGAATCAAAGCATAATCAAGGTTTGTTTGGTTATAAAAGAAATTCTATCAAAATAAGAATTGTAAAATTCAAAAGCTATCTTCAGGCATTATAAAATTACATTATACTCAGGTGCAGTTTAAAGAGCAAGTATTAACGTCATATTTACTGACTGTAAAGTATATTTGATTGGCATGTAGAAAGAGAAAGATTTATGTAATTTGAAAAGGCTTCCAGAACCACTGGGATAACCACTTCCATTGTATGTATTTTTTTTTTTTGTCTTTTTTTTTTTTTTTTTTTTTTTTTTTTATCGGTACTGGGGATCGAACTCACGACTGTCTGCTTTACAAGGCAGGCGCTTATGCCGCTGAGCTAAATCTCCATCCCCCATTGTATGTATTTTAGACTGAGTTTGTTATTGAAACTATTCTGTAGGTGAGCTGATTGCTGATTTCTGCTTTTCTTATGTACTCATTCTAGAACTGACTTCTCAGTTGGTAGCTGCAGAAAATAAATGTAATCTTTTAGAAAAACAATTGGAATACATGCGGAATATGATAAAGCATGCAGAAATGGAAAGAACATCTGTTTTAGAGAAACAGGTATGGCACCTCAGACTGAGACTCAATAGTTATTTGAGACAGTTAATTGAAGTAAAGACCTTTTTTCTCTGAGGACTTAATGCTACTACTTTATATCTCTTCACTATGCTGTTGAGATTATTAATTATATTTTTATTTAAATGGATCTTTCTCCACCCATATTTTTATTTTAACATATTCTTTCATTTTATGAGCACTGTGAGTCATTTTTTTAAAAACCTGGTGTTTCAAAGTTAATCCTTTTGTTTTACCTTGGAAATTTCATCATAAATTGTGGGGGCAGACCTATGAGGTAGGTATGAATATGTGTTTGCTGATGGCATGATGGTTTTCACTGGTTTTAGTCCACATTTGTGTGTTCTAGTCATTTGGTATTCTTGCATTGTTGTAAATGATGTGTTGCTTGAGGTTTTATATTGTCTTCCTGCGCATCTTGGGTACAAAATCTTCAGTAGTGCCTCATGTGATACTTGATATAGTATCCTTTCCTTCACTTTTAAGTTCTGTTACCTTTTTTCAACTTTGAGATTTTTCTTTCTGCTTTCGAACTTTTTGTGTCATCATTTATTATTGCTGTATTTTGTCGCATTTCTAGAATGGGTCAGTGGGAAAAGGAGCATTAGTTCATTAGGACAGTTATAAGATACCTTGATTATATGTAGCAAACAACTGTTAGATGTCGATAATAGATGCCTGGATTATACTCCTTGATTCATCAGTAAAGTTTACAGAGTATATTTAATATGAGTAGTTTAATAGGAATAGCTCCAGTACTTGAAACAAGTTACCAGATTCTTCACACACTGTAACTATCCACTAAAGTAAGTATAAAGGAATTAGTAACTTATACTGATCATGATAAAAGTATTAATATTATTTTGTCATATTAAAAATTTTTTAGTATTGATTATACTGTAAACATATATGAAGATAATATAAGTTCAGATATTTAGTATTTTGGCTTTTTCTTTTAGATTTTAATTTAATATTTTTTCTACCTCTTACTCTGTTTTCATGGGATTTTTTTCTGTGACTGCCAGTCCTTAAGTGCATATAAAAGACAGACTTTTACGTCAATTGCCCTAAACTTGAAGAAACAAAAATATCGCTGGGCATTCAGACACACTGTTATCCTAACAATGAAGAGACTAAGTAGGAGCATTGAAAGTTCAAGGCCAACCCTAAGCTAAAAAGGGAAGTACCAGCCTGACTACAGAACAGGACCCTGTCTTTAAAAAAAAAAGATAGGAGTGGGTAGTCTTGTGTAAAAGAAAAACACAAAACACCTAATGAGGATAGATAAAGAACAAGACTAACTGAAAATATCTGTTTATCGAGGCTTTCAATTGAATAAATTGCTGCTATCCCAGGGCATAAAGATACTATTAGCATATAAAATCAAGTTATATAAAACATAGTATGCAGTAAAAACAATGACCGTTTAAGCCAATCATTTATTAATGTGTGGTTTTTCCTAATATCATAATCTAAAATTCCTCTCCATATCAGTAGTATTCTGAAAGGCCAGATAAATAACATAGTGATCCTAAGAAATATTCTGTGTTAGTAACTTCACAGTTTTGACTATTAAATTATTGGGCTGTGTTGTTTCCTAGGTGAGCCTAGAAAGAGAACGACAACATGATCACACACATGTTCAGAGCCAACTTATAAAACTGGATCTTCTTGAACAAGAATATAATAAACTTACCACCATGCAAGTCCTTGCAGAAGTCAGTAATGTATCTTTTACTCATTAATGCATGATGATATAGTTATCATTTTCTGAAATTAATTTTTGCTAAATATTTATAGCAATAAAATTGATTTTATAAAAAGGAAATATATAGAGAATTTTTAAGTGAAAACAGTTCAGAGAATTTTATTTTATAATCCTGAGGGTCATAAGTGAGTTATTTTTTGAAAATACTGAAAGCGTAAAATGGCTTTGAGCATTCTTAGGGCTTGCCAAGACTTAGGTTTAAGTTGTTATTGCCTGAATTAATTTTAGTTTTAGTTGTGTAGCACTTGCAAAGAATTTAATTCCACTCAGTAAATTTCCAGATTTATTTTCGCTAGCCATAGATTTTACTGATAATTCTAACTACTACAAAATTATTATTTGATCACAAAGGAAAGTGTCCTGAGTGTTTTCAAGCCCAGAGACATTGCTAGATTAATTTAACAAGACCATGTTTAAAAATACAGCATGTTCCTATGTTGTTACACCAATAGATACTTCATTCATCCTTTTTGATATTTTTATCTCTAGAAAAAAATGCAAGAATTAGAAACAAAACTCCATGAAGAAGAACAGGAAAGGAAACGTATGCAAGCTAAGGCAGATGAGGTAAGTTGAAATACCAGTAAGTGGGATCCTCATTTTTTACTACTGTGTTGATATAAATAAGCATTTATTTTGGAGAACCTTTGATTATTTACATTTTAGAACAGTCTGTGAATAAAGTAACTTAATGTACAAAGTTACAAACATGTATTTTTACAAATAAAAAATTTGAGCAGTTCTTAAAAGTACTTTTAACCTGGGAATCTAGCTCTTGCATACCATGCATAAAGCTCTGTGTTTGATTCCCAGTGCTGCATCACCATTAAAACACAAGGACAGAAATCAAAACACTGGTTTTCTAAGTTTGTAAGTGGTGAACCTATGGCATGTGTGCTGCAGTGGACTGGTGATACTGTTGAAACCTCTAAAGGTTCACCATCACTGCTCTAGGAGTAACTGAAATTAGTTGACAGAGCCATAATATCAGGAAAGTGAACTTTGCTGTCCCTAGTTTGAATTTTATCTAATGCAGTGGCCACCAGTTTGAAAAATTGAGGCTGAGGCATAAGCGCCTGCCTTGCAAGCAGGCAGTCGTGAGTTCGATCCCCAGTACCGATAAAAAGGAAAAAAGACAAAAAAAAAAAAAAAAAAAAAAAAAAATTGAGGCCGAATAGATTCACAGCAACACTGAGTTGTTACATACTAACCAATCTGCATTTGTAGAAGTAGAACATTGCTGCAGTCTTACAGACTCATTAAGTTTTTGTGATTTTTAAATGAAGATTCCTTCTGAAGTTATTTTCCCGATATTTCCAGGTGCTCTTCTCCTCGTCCCAAGATCTTTATGCCATTTATAAGAATCTTTTCGTATTAATATAAGAGGCAAGTCCAGATTTCAAAACAGGCGTACAGACTAGTGTCCTGCACCCATATTATAAATGATCACTGCCTTTTAAATGTGATAAATGCCTTTTACCTCTTCTGGTGTTCCCTTGAATTTCCTGATTTAGTATGTTCTCTGTTCAGGTTTAGATCTAAAATGCTCCCAGAAGTCATTTGTTGGAAGGTGATGCTGTACTCCACAAAGGACTCATTCCTTGATTCGTTCCGTAGTTGAATGTGCTGATTGGAAGTGGGCTCTGTTTGGAGGCAGGTCACTGAGAGCTGACTGGAAGCAAATTATTTTATCCCCAGCCCTTCCCTTTTTGTAGGGATATGCAATTTCAAGTCTAGCTAATTCTAGAATGCAACCTTGGGCAAGTTATTTAATCATTCAGATTCTAGATTTTGCCATTGATAAAGTGACCTTCATTTTATATCTTAGTGTTGGGAGATCAAATAAGACAAATAATAACAAATTACTTTAGAATGTTAATAGTCAGACTCAAAAATACAACACAACTGTTAGGAAAAACTAGATGTAAGTTAAGTTACAAAACTATTCTTTTTTTTACTACTCACACTCACTGTCATACATCTTCCAAAGTAGTAATTTATTACTAATGGCATTTTATATTTGCTGTGTATAAAAGAATTGTTACGGGAAAGTGTATAGGTGCTCCTGAGGTAGAGATCCTTTATATGCCTTTGTCAGTAAGTACATTTTTTTCCCGAAAAATAAAGTCATAGGAAATGATCTCAGTGTTCTTTTGCTTAGACCACTGATTCTAATTGTTTTTTCTAGTTGTATCATACTTTCCTAGGGAACTTTTTAAAGTACATAAAAGTATAAATATCTTGGACTTGAACTTCCTAATTATCATGTCTAAAGAGGAGTATGGCAATCTGAAATTTTTTTCTAACATGTCAGATAATTTGGACACCGCAAATCTGAAAGATTTTAGAGGCAAGATTTTGTTCTTTTGTTTTATGTTGCAAATTGGTTTAGGGGGAAAAAATGGCATTTTTTAAAATGCTTAGCAATTGCTTATGGAATCTATACCATGAAGATAAGGTATGGTGTTATAGTTTGCTTGTTGAGAAAAGGACTTGATATTTACTAAAATAACCTCTGGTGGTTTTGCACAGATGTTTCCAGTTTTTCTTCCTTGTAAGTATTGCATATATGTTTTTAAAAAGTTGTTGTGTATTTTGCAGTCCAACTGCTTTGTATGTATGGCACTGAGGTAGATGCTGTATTTGAAAAGGGAAACGACTGAATGATCAGTTTAGAGTTACATACATAGTATTTAATTCACTAAAGAGAATTTAAAGACCAACTATAGATAATGGAAGTTTGGGTTCCAGAATGAAGGACATAGTTTAATATAGCAGTTCAAGATAAAATGAGAGATTGGTGTCATAAAATACTTGGTAAGTTAAAATGGTGATTCTTTCGTTATATAAATGTATTACTTATTTTTCAGTCAGATACTGCCATTAGGTTGTATAAGCTTTTACATTGTAGATCTCAAATTTTAACAGTAGCGTTTATTGCTACAGCATTAAATTCAGCCCTTCATGTTTTTCCTAGTTGCAGACTGATCTGGAAGCAAAGAAACTTACCTTTGAAGATAAAACAACCTCATATACTCCTATTGCAAGAAAAATTAAAAAAAAGAAGTCAAAACCATCAGAAAAGGTATGAAAAAGCTAGTCAGGCAAAGTGCTAATTAGTACATTGTGTGAAAATACTCATAAATTATCAGGTGAATCTCTCATTCTGTTTCTTCACTCATGAAGTGAAGGATGAATAAAATATATACTACTTCATTTTTACCCTGATAGTGACCTAATATATATAAAAGCATTTTGGAACTGCAGAATAATGTATAAATTAGTCTTACTCAGTCTTACATTAATGATCTTTTGTTTTGCAGTGCTATATGTAACTATACTATTTCTCTATTTAGATTATAATTGTTACTTAATTGGTAATTTGTTTTTCTAGCCTTTCCTAGGCTAGGATACATATTGATAAGTATTATTAAGAATTTGTTCTAGACCATTGTATCAATATAGATTAAACAAGTAGTAGATCAATAGTAATCTCAAAGTCTCAAATTAATTATATGTAGTCAGCTTTTTGCATCATGGAATAAAAAATAATTTTTCTTTCCATTCAGAAAGGACCTAGAAACTATTTTGGTGCACAGCCTCATTACAGATTATGCTTACGTGATATGCCATTTGTGGCTGGAAAGGTGAGTTTGTCAAACTGGATTTCTTTTGTTAGATATAGATATTTGAATTGCACATGTGTGCTTCTCTGCCTATGTATGATAGAAACATTTATCTGTACCCATACCATGTTTGATTATACTAAGAAGAAAAATGAAATGGAGACAAGTGTTACTGAATTGGGGCACCAGGGAGGAGGTGCAGAGAACACTTCAGAACATCATCGTCCCAACTGACTTATATTTAAATATGAATAGGTATCACCTGTTTGGTCAAATCCAGGTACTAACTAGTTCTCTAAGGCATCATCATATATAGATTAGAATTTTTGTGTCCTTTAGTGCTTAAATACATAGAGATAATAACTTCGTCAACTATCAACAAGTACTGTGCAATTTCTAAGTGTTTAACAGTGTTCATTCTAGTCTTTCATGGACTGTTTGTGTTACTGTTTGATGTGTATTTTGAATGCCTAACTAGATTATCGGTTTTAATATGTTGGATAGTAAATATTCTTAAGATTTTTACTTACTTGTTCATTGATTTATTTACAACCCAAAATATACCCTCAGTGAGTGAAACTGCGTGTTTTAATAAGGTCTGAAGCAGAAGGATAGTGAGACTGAGGCCAGCCTGGAGTAGAGTGAGACCTCATCTCAGAATAGTAAGCCCTTAAGGCTAGAGAATGAACTTTTTTTCTGGGTTTTCTGCTATTAGTTTGCAGGTGTATAAGGTAGTTACTTTTTGCTGCTTTTGTCCTTTGCAATGGATTTAATTTCCTATTGCATTGCACACCATTTCACTTATGTCACTACTTTTATCTCTTATTCTTACCAGGATTTATTTTGTTGTTGTTTCACTATAGTATCTTTGAATTTCCCAAGAATTGGCTGGCTGCATCAAAATCACTGAGCATGCATTTTGAAAAAATTATGAAGCCCCAGAAAGCTACTTAATGAGAAAAATCTGGAGATTTTTAATAATGTATTTTAAATTTGTTTCTTAGTCCCAGTTTGACATTTTGTTAAATTAGGACCCACTTAACCCCATTCTCTACTATTTTTATTCCATAAACACTCAGACCAAAGGTTGTCAACTTTGTGTTTACTAAAATGTCACGCACTTTAGATCAGCCTTTTATTCTTAGGTTTTTTTTTTCCTTAGTTTCAGAGTTTTTTAATAAAGTGAATTGAAGTCTTGTTACCATGAATTCTACTCATTGGCCTTTTTTTTCCGTTTTCAGGCATCCACACAAGAAAACTTAACCTTTGAGTACCAGAAAATTTAAATATGTTTGAGGATAGCTTTACTTTTTTTCTTACTTCATCATCCTGTTATGGGTTATAAACAAACTTTTTTCCTTCATTCATCTAATGTCTTCATGTTTATCACCTTATCACACTTTTTGTTCCTAAATTGAGTTGTTGTATGACACAGAGTAAACAAGTTCTAAATTGTCTGCTAATCAGGCTAATAGCACATATATGGGAAAGCATAGTATTTTTTCACCCACTGATGCCAGAGTCAGTTAAAATAACAGGTATTTCCTGGAGCAGTGTATCGGCCCTTGCAAGTCTTGTACTTGCAGAATTTTTTGTAGACCTTTTAATCAAATGAAGATTTTACGGGAATAGGTTCAACCTGCCCACTTCAGATCTGTCTCATTCTTCCATTATGTTTTTCCCAAATTCGACTGCCTATCTTCAGTAATTCTCATTGAAGTCAGTAACACTGGTTGAACAGGACAGATCCAAAGAGGAAGATTTTTTAACTAGTGCTCATTTGGAACTATTTGTATTCTTAATGAAATTCAAAATACAGTGAATGTTCAGTCACTCAGCTGAGTGTTTCTCAGCCTGCAGTGAAGGACCAGTTTTTACTTTTAACTATATCGTCACACAGTTCAATACCTTTATTAAAAAAGTGAAAGTGAATTATTAAAAAAATAAAAATGTAAGCTTATTCCTAGATTCAATAGATACAAAGCTAATAAGTACAAAAAGAAGTAACAGAAAGAAGAAAATTAACTTTCAAAAACTATTGCATATTGAAAGTGCACATGCAGGCAATTAGGATAGTGCACATGTTCCAGCACAATAATGATGACACTGATTGTACAATACTGAACTAACCTTGCATTCCCTTAATATAACCAACATGGATATGGTGTAAAATCATTCTTTGATGCATTCAGCTTGTAACAGTAGAAACGAAGAAGAGCTTCACTTTGTTGAGCACAATGGCTTCTAAATCTGACTGATGAGAACTAATGGAGGACTTAAAAATAAAATTTCCCAGGCCTTGACCATGAGGTTGGAGTGCTGTCTTGGAGTCTGCATTTTAAATAAGTTTTTCTGGTGATCAAATTCAAGCAAGCAAGATGGTTACTTATAAGCTGTTACCTAGGTTTTTCCCCTTTCTGTGCCAGATATGTCTTGTGTTTCTTACTAATCAAGAATAGAGAAATTAATTCAGTGAAAGTATACCATCTGAAGGTACATTGTTTGATAGGTTAGGTAGATAATCTAAACACAGTGACAATGTGTTATGACAAAGTGTTGGTAGCCAAACGCAGTGGCACATGCATTTAATCCTATCTAAGGGGCTACAGCAGGAGAATCAGAGTTTAAATCTAACCTGGGCAACTTGTGTCTTAGAGAAACCTTGACTCAAAAAAACAGACCTGAGACAAAGGACTTATGTTCAGTATCTATTTGTGGTTAATCTGAGAACTGGACCAAGTTATTCCATGGTAATTTTAAGGAAACTGGTAAAAGTTACATTGTAGTCAGATTTAAAATAGTAGTATAAAAGCTCCTTGTAAAAGAAATGCCATTTGCAGATTTGATTTGTTCACAACATAGAAATTATAAGGTGGCAGTACTTAAGGCCAGGAAATTTAGGCTGTATCTCAGGGATACAGGTTCTTATCCTCCATGCAGAGGAGACTGGACCTGCTAGTCAGGTGATTTAATAAAAAGATTTCAAATAGAGAAATGTGATCAGAATTTTTAAAGAGGGTAACTGATAGCCCTCTAGTTAAAGAACAATAGAAGTAAGAGCAATTGTGATGTTCAGTCAGTAGTGATAGGAAGGTGCATAAACCAAATGAATAATGTGGTGTAGAAAGGGGACAGATTTCTGAGGTTGAGTCCATGTAACCTAGTAAGTAATTTATTATAGAGCAGATTATGTCCTAGGCTGTGGGAAAGTTTATCAAAGTTAGTAAAAAGCAAACAAGAATGGAAAATTTTAACATTTTTCTCTTTTTTAGTCCACTAGTCCTAGCCATGCCGTGGTAGCCAACGTTCAGCATGTCTTGCACCTAATGAAACAACACAGTAAAGCTTTGTGCAATGATCGAGTAGTGAGCGACACCCCTTTGGCAAAACAAGTACCTTCACGAAGTAGCAGAAGTAAGAAGTCAGCCACACCTCCTTCTTCCAGCAGCATCAACGAAGAATTGGCTGAAGTCTTACAGACTTTACAGGATGAGTTTGGCCAGATGAGCTTGTGAGTTTTGGTTTTTAAAATTGTTTAGTTCTAAAGCCTTTTTTTTTTTTTTTTTTCCGATTTTTGTTGAGTATCAGTGCTATTCAGCAATTATTTTAAGAACAGTTCTTGTACCACCCATCTTATTAGTAATTCACAGAAAAATCTTTATGGGTAAAATCTCTCTTCTAATACAAATAAAGTTTAACATACCAGTGGTTGCATTTAGAGAGCTTGATAAACATTAAGTTTAGCAAAACTGATGATTTAAGGAAGTATTGAAGATCAGTTTCCTTCTAGATTTTCCTGTCTACATGTGTAATACTCTTGTAGGAGAAATGGGAATATAAACAGTTGAATAGTTTCAAATTAAAAACTGTTGCATTTCTCTCCAGTGCCTTTACTAAACTTTTAAACTATGACTAAAAGTTTCAAAATTTGCTGCTCTGTTAAGACAGTGAATCTTTTTGTAAAAAACAGCAGAAAGCAGTGACACCTTGGTAAGATCAGATATAGTGAACCAAATTGTGAAACCCAAGGGAACTAACCACACCCTACTTTTGCTTTGTATACAGTGATCACCAGCAGCTTGCAAAACTTATACAGGAGTCACCAAACACTGAACTAAAAGACAGTTTAGAGTGTGAGCTGGAGGCATTAGTGGGAAGGATGGAAGCAAAAGCCAACCAAATAACTAAAGTTCGGAAATATCAAGCACAGGTAACTCAGTTTTCCTTCACTCAAGTTTCTAATAATATAAAAAACACTTGAAGTAGATTGGTTGATGACAGAAGTGTATCTTAAAAGAGCTACCAGTGCTAATTCTTTGCAAGACAATTTTTGGTTCATTAATTACTATACTAAGACTTGCTACATGGGTTAGCAAAGAAATGTTACTACATACATTTTACCTACTAGTGAGGTACATCTTTTAGACACTGAGTAGCTGGCCTAGTTTATGAATAAACCTTAATTTCTGAGGCCAAATTAAATGGTCAGGTTTATCCACTTGGGTATTTTAAAATACCTAGTAATTCTCCTTTTGAAAGGAATGTCAGATGTAGGTATATGAAAATCATGTTATACCTTATAGTAGAATAGTAATTTACTTAATATCAAGTGTATTGTTGCAGTTGCACTCAAGGGTTTTTATCCAGAATCTGTTTGTTTTTTAAAAATTTACTGTGCCTACTGGAATTAAGGGGAATGGGTCGAGCCAGAGAGGCTGAGTCAGGCTTGGCTATTAGACTTCTCATAGGTGATTGTTTCTAGTCCATGACAGTAATTGTAGTTGGAAAGTTTTGAAGTGTGTTGTAGGTCAAAATAACCAGTATTGACTGGTAGATACAATATGAATAGAAAGTACTGTGAAGGACTGGTACCACTGACTGAACAAGTGTGCTATTCCTTGACTGGTAGCCATACACTAGGCACAGTGAATATGTCATGTCATGTAATTGCCTCAAAATACTTTTTTAAGATGGCAAATTGGGTCTTTCTGGGTTTTTCTGTTCCCATCTTATAAATAAGGAAACTGGGGCAAAAGTTAGCAAGAAGCTCACACACATCTGCAATAAAATTATATAGCCCAAAGACATACTAGGTCACTGGTAAATAGCAGAGCTAGAGAGCAAACTTTCCACTCCAAAATGTGGGCTTTTTAAAAAGTACTTTGTTTTTCCAAAGTTCATGTTAGAGATAGAGGCAAATAATTCCTATAGTTTTAATTAATGGTTTTACTTATTTTTGTACATTAGATTCACCTTTATTCTAATTGATCATGAACATGTCAGAAACAGGTTAATTAAAGTAAAAGTTCTCCTATAAATGTCTCCAAAAATAATAAAAGTAAAAATCTTTCCCATAATATTAATGCATTACCATCTTTCTTCATCCATCTGGAACTTGTGTCTTACCTGTTTAGACTAGTTTCTGTAAGTTTTTCTTTGCCTCAGTCCGTCAGTCTTCATCTTCTTCCCCTATGTCATTATTTTGTTTTTTGCCTCCTCATGAATCCTTTTTACCAGCCTCTATAGCTTTTTACTCACCTATTTTGTACTGTAGTAACTGCCTTAATGTGTTTGGTCTTGCTTGGTTGTATATTACTACATTAGGTGTCAAGTGTTAAATAACTACTGGAACAGATTTTTTAAACACTTACAAATACATACCAAGGCTGTATTCTTTGAGTTTTGGTTAGTGTGAGTTACTTTAACGGTACTGGTTATCAGAAGAAAATTTTTTCATTAAATTCTCCTTTCCCTTACCTTGCTAATTTGGTATAGCTGGAGAAACAGAAGTTAGACAAGCAGAAGAAAGAAGTAAGAGCTAACAGAAAGACTCTTGATGAAGAAGGAAACAGCAGCAGCCGATCTTCTGGGGCCATAGGGACCACAAGTAAGAAGGATTTTGCCAAACTGAGACCTGGAGAAAAAAGCAGGAAAAATCTTCAGTTATTGAAGGACATGCAAACCATACAAAATTTATTACAAAGCAGTAAGGTGTGTTGGGATTACTGACTGCTCACACCAGGTCATAAATTTTATTCAGATGATCAGATATTGACAATTTACTTTCCAGGTTTCATACTTAGATTGGAATTAATAGCAGGTGTTTTAAGAGATTAGAATTCCCTATTTTGAACCATGAACACAAATGAAAACCAAGGGAGTTTTAAAACTTGAGAGGTCACATTCTTGAAGATGAATGCACTGTACTGGTATATTGCACTTTGTAAACAAAGTACCAGGTTTTTACTTGTGGTGTGACTTTTTAAAAAAATTTTTTTACATAGGTATGTGTGTGTAAATTAGGTTTAAATTTCCAAAATACGAGGCTAGCCCTACAGGCAACATTTGCTTGAAGAGTCTCATTCTTAAATATTCCCTGGCATCAAGTGCCCACTTCCCTTTTTCATACAACTATTAAATATATTTACTTTTGACTATTGATGTTTTTTCTATATTTAACTATTTATGTATTTAAGAGGATTTTGTTTCTCTGATATTTTAATCATTGGTGCATTTCTTGCTTTTTCTATCTGCTGTTTAAAATTTTTAAAAATTCAAGGATCATTTAAATCACTTACCTATCAAATTATGTGTATTTTTATGAGTATAGATTGTTAATGAAATAACATTTTGGAAAAAGGTGAGACAGAAGGGAGCTGTTGTGAAAGCATACACGTGCAGCTTTTCAGCACCTTTTTGTAATCATGTTATTCAAAGCATTGTGGTTTTAATTTTGAAATGTAGAAAAGCCCTTAAATATGTTTTTAGTATAGAACATGAGTGCAGTAGGAACTGTACACATATAATTATCATTCATTGTAAATGTGAACAGGTCAAAACGTTCTTTTTAGAATTTTGCCACTGAAGTCAATAAAGGAGCTGTTTTTAAAGACACACTGGAATTTTACTTAGCCTATTGACAAAAGCTTTGTTGTAAACTTTCAAACATTAACACTGCATATACTGTCTTATACTTAATTTGCCATTTTATGCTTACATAGTTTGCCCAAGAAGACTGAATTACTTCATGATATCTAAGAACCTTTTAAGAGGGCTAATGAGCAGGTGAGCTACTTATGAAAAGAATTCCTTTTATGTGCCTCTTTGGGAACTGAGATGGAAGATAAGGATTATATCTACACAAGCAACTTTAATTTTTGTAGCTGCTGATTACTAGGCTTATCCAGCCTCTTGTTAAATTTTCTTGAGTTAGGAATCCTTAATATAGAATCCTTGCATAGATTGAGGTATTTGTGAATCTCCTGAAATTGCATGTAAACTTTTGCTTGTGTGTACAATTTTCTGATGACGTTTGTAGCAGTGAATTAAGGATGAGACTGTAGATCTGAGGAAGATGAAAAATTGCTCTATTGACCTGGTAAATATTTACTGTCTCTCATTTCCCATTTTAACTATTAAACTTTTGTGATCTCTTTGTTTTGAGTTTTAGGTCATTAAATTATATGAACTATCCCTTGAATGGTTATGTCTCTAAGTCATAATTAGGAAAAGAGTGATAAAGATGCTAAATCTTACTATCTCTCAGGCAGGATTCAAATTGTACCCACTCCAACTTTCAATACTGTCATATGAGAACTGAAAACAAAATACTGCTTACTTGAGTTTACAGTGGAAAAAGTATGTTCATCCACTCATGATGTAGCAACTTAACTGCAGCGCATCTCAAGCCTTTTCAGAGTAAGATGCCAGCATAGACATCAAACTGAGTTCATTAGAGATTCACAATAACCATTTGCATTATCTCAACACAGTGTAGTGAATGTAGTGACAGAAACCATCCACATTGTGCTGAAGGGACACATAGAAGTGGGGAGTGGCACAGAGGAAAGTGATGAGTGGCAGTAACTTTCTAGAGGAAGCAATGATCTCTAAACTGTAGAGAATTAGCAACTAATTATAAGGGGAAACAGTTCATTCAAGTCAGTAACAGAGTGCACAAAAGTAGGCTCTATTTGCAGTTTACATGAGAAAAGTGTGAGTACAATCACTGGTATGTTAACAGTTGAAGTATGCAGAGCATACATTTTGTTATACACAGAGGTATAAGCAGATTGTATTACAGGATACTGAACTGCTTCAACTTCATCATACTTGCCTTTGTATTTTGTATACATGACCATGAAAGTATACTGTACAACTAATATTCACCATTGTAAAATAATGAGCTTTTCTGTGTATAAATATATATAAGTGCTGGTATTTTTCTGTTTCACAATAAGCCAGTGATTTATTTTAAGTGCTCAAATGCATACTATACACCACCTGGAAGATTTCTACAGAAGGGAAGCTACTGGAATGTTTTGAACAGAAATGTGAAGATTTGAAACTTAAATTTCTCGGACTTCTGAATAGAATTTGAAGTAAGAATTGAATACATTAAGAGTAGAATGTTTTGATTCGTTCAGGATTCTTCTAACCCGGACCATGAAGAAAGGTCTGTTCCATTGGATTGGCAAGGGAATCCAATGGATTTCCATTGGAATAGAGAAAGGAATGTAAATGGAATAGGGAATGGATCTGTGAAATGTATGAATTCTTAGCTGTAATACTGACTGGCCACTTAAATTTACCTGTTTACTCTGTTAATTTTTTATGATGAGTTTCACACAATGACCAAATCATTATGGTATCAATTTTGCTAATACTGGATGAGTCTTTATTGTAAGATGAACAGCGTAACTACAGTTTAGACTATACTGAATTAGTGTAAAATGCTGTATGATTTGTTTGACTTGGGTTCATATTAAACATTTCATTTGCAGCAAATGCTCCTCAAAAGATGTTTAAGTAACATTCTAAGAGTTACAAAAAAAAAAAAAAAAAATGAATAGCCAGGTGTGGTGGCACATGGCTGTAATCCCAGTGCTTAAGAGTTGGAGGCAGGAAGATGGTAGAAAATTCAATGTCAGCCTGAACTTCATAGCAAGACCGTCTCAAAATAAACAAATAGTTCTGGACAAGGACAAAGTTTTAAATTAGTTGAAATTTCTTTTAATTAAAAGACCAAGGGAAAGAAGCTTGTTTGTTACAGTACATTACATATGGCTCTTATATAAAGTAGACATCAAGAAGTCAAATATTTATACCAGCACCAAACTCAGGCGAACAGTGAAGCAAGATTTCTTTTACTGGCATTGAGATTGTATTCATCTTTACATGCAGTATATTCTTTGGTAGACTCAAATCATTTGATGGAATTACAGAATTTGCGCAAAGGAAACTAGTAGTAAACTAATTCATGTAAATTTTGAGTACAGTACTTCTCACCATAAGCTATTTATACAGACTTAAGGAAAAAAAGTCTATATTGCCTTAGAACTTGCCAATTAGCATTATTTAAGTAAAGTTCAGTTTTTAAAATGTTCTTGAAATTGGACAATTAGGTGAAGCATATGGAGTTCCTTCAACTCACAATAGCTGCTGTTTTGTCCCCTTCATCATCCCCAAAACCATTCTGTAAGGCTTTTGGAATAGCTATCTAAAAACACTCTAATAAAGCATATAAACAGTGCCAGCAACAGCTTTCAGCTATACTGTATCATTTTCAAATTTGCCTTGTACTTATTAAGCATGAAATTTAAAGTGGATCAAAGTCAATTACAACAAAGAAAAAAAAGTATGATTTTAAACTGTCATGTCAAGGCAATATATGTGATTCCATAAAATTTCAATGTTGATTTGGTTTGAAAACTATTCTCTGCAGTGATCTTTCTGCTACCCAGAAGTATATTTCTAAAGTAGTCGGTATTTTGCTTTTAAAAGATCCTGAAGTTTTTCCCTTTAAATTAGAAACTTGTTTCCACTGTAGATACAGAATTGAAGTATTTTAATATATTTTGGGTGACATAAGGTTAGTGTCATAACTGTAATTACAAAGGGAGCCACCCACACTGCTGTAGTTATAGACTCATCTTAGACAAAATAAAGCATCTGAACTTTTTCTCTCATAGATGAGTTGAAATATGGAAGAATTTCTACTCATAAAGCTGCCACAGTAATGAAGAGTTCGTAGCAATGATGCCTCTAATCTAACAGTCCATTCATACAACAGTTTGGACAGGAGTGACACACTGTGCAGGAGAGCTGGCTCTCTCTGACGATGAGGTCGAGCGGTTGGAGATTTCTCTCTGTAGTTCTTCTACTTTTTTCTGAAGCTCTGCTCGTTTAGCAAGAAGTTCTTTATATCTGCTGTGAATAGGTTCCTACAAGAGCAAAACATGAAATTGCTCAATTGGCAATCCCAGCCCAACCCTTGGTTACATCATTACTTGTCTCTTCTTGAATGAATCCCATCTTTTTAACTCACTGGTAGAAATTAAGTTCAGCTATTGTCACCACTGCTCTTATCCTGGCTTTTCCGGTGTTCCCAAGTACTTTTCAGAGAATATATACTCTGGAGGTACTCCTAGAACTGATACTTTTACAAGTGTAACAAATAATTAAAAGCCAATACTCAAAAGATTCTCTATCATTTATTTGAAGATTTTTAGCCTAATAGTTTTAAGCAGTAAATATTTGATAATAGTTACTGTGTATCAGAATTTAATTGGACCTTTAACTTTCCTAAAACTTGATATTCAAACAAGGCTGTCAGAAGTTAACTTTAGGAAGAAGGAAAAGCACAGAACAAGTGATTTTTTTCCAGTCTACAAAGACAGAATAAAGACCGTGTACAGGAATTATCCCAATGTGGTGCTTTTTTCTAGTACACAATTAAAACTATTAATAGTTTAGAGTGAGAAGTTCTAATGACAGTTTTTCCAGTTGCCATAAAGGATACAGATCTAATAGCAAAAAATTAAAATTCCCATCATATATTGTACCTGTGGTTTCATGCGTGGATTCCACCTTATATAATATCCCACCCAAAGCTCTAGGTGGCGCATGCTGGCTACTGGATAAAGGACATGATTGGAATAGCTCCCATAGAGAGGATTAGTGAAGTCTTCCAGCTGGCTATTTATGTAAGACCACAATGACACAGTCCTTTTAGGAAGATTCTGTAAGAGGGGAAAAAATACAGATATTCTACATAAGCTATACTTTAGATGAAATTTGGAAAAAGGTATTTTGTGGTCATTTTCAAATGACCACAAAAGAAGGCATAGACTTGGGACATTTTACACTGAAAACCAAAGGATACTGGAAAAGTACAAGTCCTCAAAGACTTAAACATGAAGAGTTACCATGTGACCCAGCAATTCTGTTCCTAATAAAGCTAAAAAGGTGAAAACAGTATTCATAACAGCCAAAACATGAGCCCATCAAATGAGTGTATACAGATAAAATATTCACAGTGAAACATTACTCAGCAATAAAAATGATCTCTGCTTCAACACAGATGAACCCTGGAGAAAGTATAAGTGAACGCCAGACATGACGATCACATAGTAAAACTGCTCTATTTAAATAAGAGGCAAACCTGCAGAGGTATAGCAAGTTAAGTTAGTATTTACCAGATGCTATAAGGAATGCGATTTGACTATTAGCAGGTATGGGACTTAACTGCAGTGACCAAAATGTTTGGAAATTAAATGGTAATGTTTATACAACTCTAGAAAACTAAAGGCCATTAAATGCACAAAAAGACTTGATCTGTGGTATGCAAATTAAGTTTGCTCAAGTCAAGATACAGTGCATTCTAAGGTTCACAAACTACGCTTAACTGATATTACCTGACACTCCATAAATTACTGACTTCTACACATGGAAACACTTTCACTAAATGGCAGACACTTATAATAGGGCATTCAGAATACTTAATACTCTATGAAAAACTGGCATTCTGTATGTCTTCATTTAATCTTTATAGTAGTATCACTAAGGAAGCAAAAGTAAACTACGTTTTACTGTTATGGTACAAATCTAAAATATCCCCCAAATGTCATGTGTTCAGAGGTATGGCTTTCAGAAGGTCACTGGCTCGTGGACCCTTGAGCTTACAAGGTTTACCTCGCATTCTGGCTCTTGCTTTTATTGCTTCCTTGCTGCTATTGGTTGAGCAGCTTAACTGCGCCACACTATTTCTGCTTTGGAACCAGCAGACCATGGGTTTGAGCCTTTTGAAACTTATGAGACAAAATAAACCTTTTTCTTTAGGTTTTGGTCGTTGACAATTGTTTTAAAAGTGAAACCTGATATAGAATGTGGCACAGTAAAAATGAATAATTGTTCATATATCATAGAGATGTACTTTCAAGATGAAAACTACAGATACCATCCCTGTAAGCAGGTTTTAATGTCAACCTCTTTAACAGTGATATCTCTAGGAAGAGGCAATGAACCACTTTTTGTATGTATCTGGTATCTGAATCTTTTACACTGCTATTTTACAATTTAGAAAACATGATTTATTGTCTTGTGTGCAGAATATACTTTGAGATTTGAGCTCCCCACACATTCAAAAGGGTGTTCTCCAAAAATATTTTTTCTGTACCTAATTTTGAAGAGTTTCTGTTCTTCAGGGAATACTGTAAATCCTGAGGTCCCACATATTTCATTTCCCTTCAGCAAACATCCCACTTGTGAACTTAGCTGACAGTTACCTGGCACCTTCTGCCTTATGACAGATATTTCAGAATATCAGGTCCAGCTACGTGACAGAAGTAATCAAAGTACAGCCCATAAGACAAAATATAACTAAAAATAATATCCAAAAGAGTAAGTTTAGTTGAAATCAGAGTGCATTTTTGAGGGAAAAGCACAGGGTAAGGATAATGCAAAGGTGACAGGGCTCAGACGTGCTCTTACCTCTTTTCCTCTCTGCTGTTCACTATTACAGAGGAATGTTCCAAATAAACAGCTGTATAGATGGTCCAAAATGGTAATGAGGAAGTACTCATTGAATTCAAATGCAGTAGGAAACTGGAAATTGAACATCACAAATGCATAAAATTGAGACAATTTTCCACGTATATTCATTCTTTTCATGAGTTGATCTTCCATAATTGTATTTAAAATTAAGTCTAGCATTCAGAACTACAAATCTTCAGCTCTGGGGGTCATTATCTACTTAGTTAAAAAAATTATCACTTTTCTGACGTTACTTCTTCCAGAACTTTATTTTCTTGTGCAGTAAGAGTCTGAATGTTCTGCCCATTTTGGTTCTGTGTTCTTTATATCTGTTAAAGCCTAAACTTGCTACCAAGTAAGTTTTGTAAGTCCAGTCTTCACCTGTCTATAGTAAGGTTTTTTGTTAAACTTTCAACAGCATAAACATAGGTTTGCTTTTAGGAATCAACTGTGTATTCACAAAATATAATACATGAAAGTAATGTGCAGATAATTTGTAAGTCAACCTACTATCTTTCCAAGACTATCCTGTCCAATCAGAGTTTCTTACAATACCCTATTTTGGCAGCATCTTTCTAATGCAGAGAAAATTCATTCCCTCTCTTAAGTAGGGCAAAGGGTAGCAGGCAAATTTTACACAATGCAATTTTGGAGGACTAATCAAAAGATCCTTAAAAGATAAAATTAATGGTTTAATCCACCCTATCCACATTTCAGGTTATGCCAAGGCTTCTTTCTGTGTGACACTATACCACTTACAGGGTAGTCCAAAAGAACTCCATAAATTCTGGATTGCTAATTGGAGAAAGAACTGTTTTCAGATTTTACTGTTTACAACAGTCCAAGGCTGGGGATATAGCTCAGTGGCACAGCCCCTGCCTGGCAAGCTCACGGCCCTGAGTTCAATTTCTGATACCAAAAGAAAGTGTACCTAGAGGAAAATGGCACAAACTGCTGGCAACAGGAATAGGGATGAAAATAAGCTGGTAACCTGGTAGGTTTCTACAAAACAGTGAAAGGCAGTTAGTGGGCCTTGAGTAATTTTTGTGGCTCTGAAGCTGAAGCAAATGATCAAGTGTATGCCAGAAACCAAAAGCCAGCTGACTATAAAAAAGTCACATTTTATCCCTTAATAAATCCCATCGACTATGTTGTCACACACTTAACAGTCTTATTTAGTAGCCCAATATAAGTACATTCTGATGCATTAAGTCTGAAGGACTAAGCTGTAATTTGTTCATCTTATTGGCAAACCTACTGCTGTTATATGGCAAAACAGTTTATCAGTGGGCATTGCCTCAGGAAAACTGAATACAGCAATAATTTCTAGTGTTGCTTTTAAAATTCTAAACCGGTATTTTGTCTGCTTTCCTTGGTTAAACACATGCGGGCCTTTCAACAGTTGCTTCCTCGGTGAGGAGATGGGGATGAGTGGTAGTATGCCAGACAGAATACGATTAAATACACCAGCCCTATTTTGACAAATGGCTGTGTAAGTCTGTGTTGATATTCGTGTTTTTTGTTGTTTGCTCACATTGTTAATATGACAAGGTATGTCCAGGCTTTATGTATGTCCAGAAAGAAAATACAGATAAACAGCCAGATGTCTAAAAGGCCACTATAGAGTATCTTAAATTCCACCAAAGAAACTAATTTTATAGTTAACAGGCTTAATTAGCCACTTTATTTTTAAAACACTGACCCCTTAGCCAGGTGTTTTTTTTTTGTTTGTTTGTTTCCTCTACTATATTTTCAAGAGATGAAATTCATTTATATTAATATTTCGAATAAATATTACAAAGCTTTTAGGATATGATTAAAAACCACAATTCTCTCAATGCCTAAAACAGCTGAATCTGTTATTTACCTTGGTACTATCTACCCAAATACATTTTCCCTTAAAATGGCTAAAATTATTTGGAAAATGATTTTATTTGGCTTGAGCTATGTAACCTATTTCTTTACCTCCCCCCCCAGCAACATACTTGTTGGCTTCAGTTTAACACCTTGTTCAAAACAAGGAAGCCTCTCAGAATATCAGTGTCACTGATGGAAATGCTGATGGATCAAACTGTAAATGTTTAATGTTACTCCATCACCACCAAATAACCTTTAACTTAATAGTGATGATAACCGATTGGTCTATTTCTTGAACAGAATTTCCATAGAAAAGTTTCATTTTACATGAACTATAGGATAATCATTGACCAAATCTCCCAATTCTGAGCTTGAAGGACATATGTAAGATAAGTTACCTGTCTTGTCATTTGCCAGACACAATCAATAAACTGAAGGAAAACAGGTGATCTGTCTGGATCTGCGTGGTTCTTATCTCCATGGCCAACTCTCTGAAGCAGAGTGAAACATATTTAGGATTTTTCAGTTTTTAATGTATTTTTTCTAAAAAAGCAGTCGAATATAGTGTGTTTTTTTTTTAATTTTCAAAAAACTTTTTAAAGAGCATTATATTACAAAAGAAGCAGAAATCACAATAATTCTACCAAGCAGAAAACCTATTGAGATTTTCATGTACAACTGCTACGTTTTTCTGAAATGAGATACTTGTAGGAATTACCACACTGTTTAATAAATGCAATCAGATCCTAAAAAGAGTAGTAGAACAAGGAGCACACTCCAGAGCCCAGATGTTTGAATTGGAGACTTGCAGTGGTCTCATTTCCTAAGAACTTAACAGTCACCTTCCAGACTTGCAGTCACCTATCCCAAAGCATAGATTCCCTCTAAAAGTATACTCCACAGACTTATGGGGGCTTTCAGATCCAAGTTATTTTTCTAATACTACAAAATCTTTATTTGCCTTTTCCAATGTCTTGCCATTTAGTAAAAGCAGCACAAGATAAAATTTGTGTTCCCTTAGCAGGAATCAAGCAAAACTGGCACCTAACTACAGTGGTAATAATTGTACTCTTACCTTGTCAGACCTCAACACCCAAAGAAAACGCATAATATGCTCTGGTGCGTACTGACACAGGACAGGAAGAAATGCCACAGTTGTGGAACATCATTTTTTCAAATAATTTATGTATCGACTATGGTTAATAAGACTTGAATACCTGGCAGACACTTTTTAAAAAAATAAGCAAAATTATATCACTAATTGTAGAATATGAGCTTTTGAAGCCAGGCATGCTGGTGCACACCTGTATTCCTTGCACTCGGGAGGCTGAGATAGGAGGATCGCTGCATGTTTGAGGTCACCCTGGGCTACACCAGTTCAAGACCAGTCTGAACTGTACCAGACTTTGAGTGAAAATAAGGTTGTTAAAAAACTCTTACCCACAACAGTGATCTTAAATGCTTCTGATAAAATCAGTGATGGTATTAATGGATGTGATTTTATGATATTGTACCATGCAGTGCATTAATGTTTGGGCTACCTGTATAACTCAGTGTTTTTCAGATAACCAATAATGTTACAAAATCATGTATGTCCAATATATTTCCCAACATAAAAACATCAATAGAATCTAATGGGCAAGAACAAAAAAATCTTGGTTTTGGATGCCACGTTATACCTAACATCTAATAAACAACCACCTGTTCTGGTATAGTAAAGTAATAATAATCATGATTTCCTGGAAAAGCTAATCAAAAAAGCTTCCCCATCTTTATCCAGAAAGATTTTCCTTACATACTTCATAAGAACACATTACAAGATACCTGAGAAGCAGATGTAAATGTTAACATAATAATCATTTGTTTTCAAATATTTTGAAATTTTAGAGTTGAACTATTATGATACAGCAAGTAATGTATAATCCACAAAGTTATTTTGGGTCATCAATAACTGCTAACAGCATAAAAGAATTGTGAAACCCAAACTTGAGAATTATGACCCCTTCATTAACCATGTAAGCATGTTGTTTTGACTGGGTGTTCTTTAATTGTCAGAATGCTGCTTTGTTTGTTTGTGGGGAAGGATCAAATTCAGTATCTTGCACTTGCTAGGCAGGTGCCACGCTGTTGAGCTAAATACCTCGGCCCCTAAAACACTGCTGTTGTAGTGAAACTAGAAACAGAACTAAAGTTTAAAAATCCATACCAACTTCTAACAGCCCTAAGTGTTCATGAGTTTGAACCTACCATTATTTGAAGAGTTGTTTTAAATGACCTTTTCAGTATACTGTACAGAGAGCTGCAAAGTGTGAGCCAGCTAAGTACATAATAAAGCTGTCAATTATAGTATATTCAAGTTCAAAACAACAGACTAAATATTCTTTTATAATATAAAAAATGTTAGCATTCCCTGCTGTGGGGCACTAAGAGTTAATGTTAGAGCAGCATTTAAGGCACACACCTTTCAGAAAGTCTCTGAACTAATCTATGAAAATTGCTGCTTAGAAATGATGTTCTCAAAGTTCTCTAGTCCTCTGACAGTCTGGATCCTCTACATGGTTCTCTAAATCCACCTCTCCCTCTGCTCTTACCACTGTCACTGTCATTCCCATCCATTATTCACTCACCTACTACTCTCTCACTCTATTTTGTTACTGTAACATACACAGACAACATATGAGAAGACTAAAAGTCAGAAAATTACTGTTCTCGAGTTTTCTGGTTTCCAATAGTGTTTAGCTGGAGCATAGCTAAAAACCACTTGAATATTTAATTTCAAACTCAAGTATGAGGTAACAAGAAAGCAAAGCCAAGTCATATCACCATCCTGATCATCTGTTTTAAGAACTATGATTAAATCAGGCATGGTGGTACACGCCTGTAATCCCAGCACTTGGAAGGCTGAGGCAGGGGCATCACCATGTTTGAGGCCAGCCTGGATACAAAGTAGCTTCAACGCAAGTCTGAACTGTAGAGCAAAATGCTGTCTCAAAAAGACAAAAAACAAAACAATAAAACAAAATCTTGTGATTACTCCTCAGTACCACATGTATATGAGCAAAAGCCAACTGGGATGCAAAAGAGTCTGAGCAAAAAGGATGTTCAACCTGAAAACAAGAGATTGTGGACAATGTGGGCTAACAGCTTCCTTCGAATATTTGAAGGGATAAGGAACAATTAGTTCTTCATGTCTCCAAAAGGGAATGGAGCTGAGTGTGGTATTACATAAGATAATCTCAGCACTCAGGAGGCTGAGGGAGGAGCATCACCGGGAGTTCAAAGCCAGCCTGGGCTACATAGTGAGATCAGGGCCAGCCTAAACTTCATATCCAGGCCCTGTCTCAAAAAATAAAAACAAAGAAAAGGGAACACAGACAATGGGAAGGAAATTTCATTTCACTATCAGGAAGACATTTGTAACGTAATCTTCCTGAATGAAACTAGTGAGCCTCATAGAAGAAGCTGTTGCCTATTTCTGGGGACACTAATGAGACTGAACAATCATTTGACAGGCAAACTTCTGCCTTTTTGTTATGTCATAATTTGGATTTGTGGATAGACTAGTCAAAGTAATTACAAAAGCATACGTTCTCAGATTCCAATTCTGAAATGGGATAATAAAAGTAATTTCTAAACAGTAGAGTTGGCTCAAAACATTTCCATATAACTATGCATAGTTTCCATACATAGTTTTAGTACTATAAGCATAACAGAGAAGCTGTACAACTCAAACTTTCATTTTATTCTCCATTGTTATTTTCAGCATGGTTTTTTACAGACACTGCTGCTATGTGAGCAATACCATCTATAGTGATTTTAAGAAGAATATTTAAGCTTTTGCTTCTTTATACACCTGCAGAAGAGCCAGAAGGGCTCTGTAACTGCACAACCTTCAAACTAATCTTACTTTTGGAAGAAACACTTGTGGGCAGCACTGAACAACAAAACTGCTGTTTCCAGGCAGAGATGAAGAAAAGACTAAGGGGGTCGATGCCCCTTGTAAGTAAGAATCACTAACCTATAGGGTACTATGAAACAGTCTCAAAATTGATTATGCGTGACTCATTTGTAAGCATTAAAAAACGTTCCTGGGCCCCATTCTCCAATTGTCCTAATTCACTACTTTAAGTCTTGTCTATTATTCAAATGCATATACAGACTGAAAAATCACTAACACAAGCTAGTTCAAGTAGTCACATTATGTCATCCTAATACTTCGCAAAAGAAACAGAAAAATTCTCACAAGATTACCCTTCTAGATAAACGATTAAGGTATTGCTACTTACTAGTTGGAATCGATGTCCAAAGCTTAGCCACTCTTTTTCCACAAGGACTTCAAATCCTCGGATGGTTCGATAGTATCCATCTAACATGAGCATAGCAAGGGAAGTTAGCTGAGCTGTGCGATCCCAACCATCACTGCAATGCACTACCACAGAAGTCTTCCCTGACTCTACCTTGTCAGCAATCCTAAGAGCCCCTGCAAGAATAAGCTGGAAAACAGATTTTTCCACATTAAGTTTTAAAACAAATACTTCTTCCCAGATTCAATTCCCAATGCTACAAAAAAACCCAACTTTACTAGTAATGGTTTTATTAGGGATGACTCTGAACACAGAAGAAAAAATTTTTGTAAGTTGTATAAAACATAAATTCTGCATTGATAACTAGAAAAATCTCATAAACTTAAAAGACTCCTGTTAATTTGCACAATGAAGTACAATACCTTAATGAAGGGTATCTCGTACTAAAGTCAAAAATGAAAGATTTTTCTTACAAGAATTAAGTTCTAAAGATTTATAAAGTTATCAAATATTCTAACATCATCTGTTTAAATAAAAATGGCTATACCAACTGAAACCTTATTTTTAAGGCTTATTTAAAACAATTTTTAACAGTCATCATGTGAAAGCAGTAATACTGGATCTCTTAAAATATTCTAAGCAATTATTATAATTTTGGCCTTTACTTTTATATGCCGAAATCCTTTGCAAAATAATTTACCTTTTCTGAAAAGTCTTGACTAACAACAAAACAAAAATATCCCTGTTCTTTGCAATAACTGTACTGTTATCATTCTTAACAATGAGAATGGAAGTACAGTCTCATCTGATTGTAAACATAGGCATATTCTAGAAACAGGGTGCATTCAAGCAATCTCAAACTTGACTATGCATCAATCATTTGTGAGCATTTTTTAAAAGTAAAAAGTACCTGGTTCCCATTCTCCAATGATCTGTCACTATTTAAAGATCTTACCTCTTAGTAGAATGCATATACAGACTTAAGAATCACTAATCCAAAGGCTTAGTTTAAAACTGACCAGGAAATTATCCAGAGTAACAATCTTCATTCTAAAACATTTATGGAGCCATTTACTATGTGGCAGGTACCACTTACTGTGCTGGAAATAAAGCACTAAAGGAACAAAGTACCAGCTTATACTGTCTTTGGGAGAGGCCAGCCAACCCCAGAAAAAGGAAATACGCAGCATTTATCAAATGGATGTCAATTAATGCTGATACAACTGTCAGTTTGCACTGAGTAACAGCTGGGAAAGGCTTCTCTCAGAAACAAGATAGTTGAGCAGAGATTTAAAGAAAATGGACAGGTAAGCCTTGGAGGTGTAACAACTGGCAGAGGAGAAAATAGTCCAGCAGGAGTACGTCTTACACCCTAGGGAAACTTGTTTCTGTTATAGTCAGCCTTTCAGAGAGAATGTACTTGCTAGTGAAATGACCAGGGATTCTCTAGAAGCAAACAAACCAACTTATGTTTCAAGTCATACACTGTCACACTATAACAGGAGGGCCACATGAGGCATGTTTATAGCTGTCTATATTCAAGCTATAAAGCTTCGTGAAGAAGAACAATAAAATAGTCTGTAACTGTACTTCTATTACTTGTTTTGCTTTTCAAATTTCTTAATTTTTGAGCTCTTAATGGAAGTACAAGTCTGTCCCTTTTTTAACATGAACAACCACGTTCTCTATTATTTCCTAACAGTAATATGTATATGGTTAATTTATATTTTGGTAATTTACTAAATGTAGAGCATTTCTGAAAACATATCAACTATATCAACTAAGTTTGGTGCTTCAAGCATTAAATCAGTATGTTGTGTAAATTAATGTTTTCTTGGTGTTCTCCAAGTGACTAAATTTAACATGGTATCCTGCAAACACTCCACATCATTTCTCTAAGTGGAAAGGTAGCTTTCCAAAGCATATAATAAGTATTTACACAGGTAAGAGTTGCCCTGCCTTCTAAGGTGACCAAAAAAACATGATTTATCCAGTGCAGGTCTTCATGAGTTAGCAGTATATGGCGTTTGACACATTTAAAAGCAAATGAATGAAGAAAGATATGATTAAATGGAAAGAAAAAGGAAAGTAAAGAGATCAGAGAAAATAGAAATAGGTTCAGTCTATGAAGACTTTATGGAAGAAGACAATGTAAAACGGAATCTGAAGGAGGAGAACAACTCAAGATAGAGAAGAAAGAAATGTAACAGAACCAAATGCACAATATACAAAACTAATTCAAACATCAAAATTCAATAGCTCCAATTATCAAAATAGTTAACCAATTTTTCACTTTTTAGAAGGTGACTTCATTCTGATTTCAATTATAAGAGTCAATACAAAGAAATAAAGAAAGAAAGCTTTTGTCTAAAAATACAGAGAAATATACTCACCTTAATATGCTCTAGCCAGTGTGTAGATTCTAAGTTAGACAGCCAATGAGTTTCCTCAATATTTGGGTACACAATCTCCTTAAGTTTCCGTAATGACTCTCTCATAACATGAATATTGTGGATATCCAGAAAAACTAGCTCTGCATTTTGATAAGCATCTTCACTTTCATAACCTCCACCTTTTGCCTGGAGAAAGGCACACATCACAGGAAATCATAAATGAACACAAATCCATTATCTGCAGACACCCATGAAATACGTGAAAGTGTCAAACATGCTTATAGCCAGCCACTAGAAAAACTGCATGTGTAGCTGCAGATGGCTCAGGCAACTCCACAACCTCCATCTACCTCGTGATGTTGTTTATAGAAAAAAGAATATACACTGGCTGTTACAAATAAATGGTTATCATGTATTAAGTAGTTACACATTTTAAAGCACTAAATTTCCCCTGCCTATATTTCAAATACTACCCAAACAGTTCTTTATGGAAGATGCCTCTTCATACTAACATCACAAGACTGTAAGTTGTAGGTACAGTCCATCATCAGGTCCACTTCTGCTTCTTCACTTCATTGCAATCTTAAATAAACTTTTTGCAATCCTAATGACTCACTTCTGTTTAAACCACATAATTCTGTTTTTGTTTTGAGTATGTATGCATACACACTTACACATGTTTATGTTGCTTTTAGCTTTCTTATTCCTAGCCCTTGCTCACGCTAGTAAAGTACTCAACTACTTCCTACATCTGTAGCCCTTTTATATTTTTATTTTGACAGGCTAGCCTTAAACTAGCGATCCTGCCACAGCACTGTCCTCCCTTCAGGACCTAAGATTACAAACATTCACCATTAAGACCCCCCCATCTCATTCCTTCTAAATAAACAGAACAAGTATAAAAGCACACAGCACTATCAACATCTCTATTCTCAAAGACTTAAATCTATTATCTACAGAACAGAATGTGATTTGGTGTTTTTTTTTAAAGTTAAGCTATAGCTAGAAAACACTATCTAATTTTTCTGGACTTCATACTTTATGCGTACCTATAAACATTATCCTAGCACCTGACTTGTCTATAGAACTCATACTTGTCAGAGCCCTAGTAGAAATAAATTAGGAAAATACTGAAACAGTTTCTGTACTTACAAAAATTAACTGATCATAACTCAAGACCTCTGAAAACAAAATTTACCATTTTACCAATCCTAACCAACAATGGAGTACTAAAAGGCTAAAAATTAAAGTTTCTGATACTAATAGTCTAAGAAACAGTTTGGACCCAGGACTGCCATAATTATAAAATAACAGTGTTTCAAAGTTTATCTGCTAACACTGATTACTTCTGAAAAGAAAGAATTAGGACAGGTTGAAGGTGGAAAGACTTACTGTGGATAGTAAGTTAGAAATTAACAGGCAGTCAGAGAAGGATCAGTCCCTTGGAGTCAGTGGAGGAGATAAGACATCAAAATTGTGGCTAGAGATAAATTCAAAGAGCCAGGTCTCAAGGTGGAGACTTCCTAACCACACCTGCAAGCCTCTCTCTAGGGACAAACCACATCTGATTATACTGCAATTAGCACCACCTTGCCTAGTGAGCCCAGGCAGTCCACTGGATGCACAGGTGGGTGACCAGAACACCCTGACCCATATTTCTGTCCCTTTCCAGGAATGCTTTTGTTCTATATTAAAAAGCTATTGATAAGCTGAAGTTAATGATGTTACTGATACAAACCCTTGCTACATCCTCACATCTCTGTTACATAAATATAAGCTAAGCAACTATACTCATAATCCTATAAGTAGATTGTAGTTTGACCCACAGCTACCCAAGCTGTGATTTTGCTATATAAAATATCTTTGGACAAAAAGTCTTAACAGCAACCTACTTTTACAACCCCTCCTGTCTCTCAGAAGCTTTCTCTCAGTAACCCTTTCCTACTCTTAACCTCTTTATCCTCAAGTCCATTCTCAGTATTAAGAGACACGAGCTTAGCACACGTGACACCTAAAAGGTTGGGAGTTTAAGAAACATCGTAATGGCTGTGACTATACGAACCTGTCACAAAAATACAGAATGAAAATGCTCTGGACTCAGGCAATAGTGAGACTTATTCAACTTCATAAACATATTAGAAGAGTATACACCTTAAAAGAGTGCATTTCATAGTAAGTGAAATCTATCTCCATGAAGTTCATTTAAAATGAAGTAGGCAAGAAAACACAAAAATCAAACTAAAAACTGAGCTTGATGAAAATTACTCCACTGAACCCCAAAATACAAGGAGGTGGAGAATATCACCAACAGGTCTGGCTATTATCAGTGAATGGTACTAAGTGGAAGAAAGCAATGGACACAGAATAGACCGGTATCAACATCGGATTTTTTATTTGTCCTCTTGGTTTTGGCTTCCTTCTAGAGCATCAGGAAAGAACAGCTCAGTCTTAAACACGTGTAGCCAAAACTATGAAGGGAATCTGTCCTTTCCAACAGCTGAAGGGTACAAAAGGCCCACTGTCGCAGCAAAGGGGCAAAGCAGTCTGACTTTGACTGTGTGACCACCTGGGGATCTCTTCTGCTAACAGCACAATGAGAACTCAGCATGACGGAAACAAGAGAGGCAACTGAAGAGACGGTCCAGATAAAAGCATGGATTCAGGCGGGGAATAGGTATAGTTATGGGTGTAGGGTATGAGACAAAAAGGAGCCAGGAATACTAGAAAGTAAACTTCCATACTTTTAAATGCTACATAAAAACAAACACGCTCGTGAAGTAAGCACTTTTAACTTCTGTGCACATGTAACTTGTTCTATGTTTTCTAACTAACTAAAAGCTTAGGAAAACTAACTTTACCTAAAATGAGTAGGAGAATAGGACTGAGGTCAAATTCCTTACAAGCTATTCAAAAATAAAAGAAAATGAGCAGCTGTCATAAAATCCCTACAGAGAGTGCCTCATAAAATGAAGTCTATTTTATCTATCTTCAGGCAAGCTAAAGAGATCTTTAAAATGATACCAGACATGAATACAAGTCAGAAGTAGAAAAATTCAGAAATGAAGTGACCAAACTGGACGTCACATTATAAATAAAACAAAAATTACTTCAAATATAAACAGAGCATTTCAAAGAAATAGCGGGTGACATGCATAAAACTAAAGTCTAAATGGGTCAAAGATCTAAATATTAAAACAAACACTAAATCTAGTGGAATAAAAGGTAGGGGATAGGCAGAGAGTTCATGAACAAAACACAAACTGCATGGGAAACACTTCAAAGAATCAACAACTGGGATCTCATATTATTGAAAAGTTTCTGCATTTCAAGAGAAATCACCGACAGAGTGAAAAGAAAACCCACAAAATGGCAAAGAATTTTAGCCAGCAACCCATCAGACAAAGAACTTACATCCAGAACATATAAAGAATTGAAAAACATCAAGCCCCCCGAATTCAAAGACCCTCTCCAAAAATGGGCATCTAAGATCAGATGAAGATACACAAATGACAAATAAATACTTGAAGAAATGTTCACCATCACTGGTGAGAAATACAAATTAAAACAGCATTGTGATTTCATCTCACTCCGGAAAGAATGGCTGCCATCAAGATATCAAATGATGGGGCTGGGGATTTAGCTCAGCAGCATAAGCACCTGCCTTGCAAGCAGGCGGTCGTGAGTTCGATCCCTGGTACTGATAAAAAGTTAAAAAAAAAAAATTCAAATGATAACAAATGTTGGCGAGGATGCAGGGAAAAAGGAACACTTCTCCATTTGTGGTGGGAGTGTAGACTGGTGCAGCCACTATGGAAATCACTATGGAGATTTCTCAGAAGACTAGGATTGGAAGTTCTATTTAACCCAGCTATTCCCCTCCTGGGTATTTTCCCAGAAAACCTGAAAAGATCATGTCACAGTGATATATGTGCACCCATGGTCATAGGAGCACAATTTGTAATAGCTAAATCTTAGAAACAACCAAAATGCCCATCAACCATAGAATGGATGTAAAAGATGGGGTATTTTTATACAATGGAATATTACTCAGCTATAAAAAAAGGATGATCTTGAGGCCTTCATAGGTAAATGGAGGCAACTTGAGATATCCTCATAAGTGAAATAAAGAGAGTCATATGTATAAATATCACATTGTGTCTCTAGTGTAAAAAGTAATAAGAACTATAGGAGTAATAAAACCCAAAATGTGTAATTGCTATTGTAAAGAGGAAAAGTGCTCCAAAGGATGTAACTGCATGTATGTTTAAGTGTGTAAGACAGATGAGCATATTACTAAGTTTTTGTTGGGATTGTTGAGCAGAACTGTTTGCAGTCTCACTGTTTTAATGTCCACTTTTTATGCTTTAATTTTGTAACTTGAACAACTATTTCTAAGATTCCAGTTATGTAATTTATCAGCTAGTGATTTCTTAGTTTTTTGAAATTCTGTATTATTACTACACTTGTTTCCTGTTTTGCTTTTTTTTTTTCACTTTAAATTAAAAAAAAAAAAAAAAAAAGAAATAGCTGATGAAAAGAAAAGTTAAACCTGAAGACATAGCCAGACATGGTGGCACACATCTGTAATCCCCCAATTTGGGAGGCTGAGGCAGGTGGATCATTGAAAGTTCAGGATCAGCCTGGGCTACAAAACAGCTCAAGGACATGTAGTGGGACCCCATCTCAAAAAGACAAAATAAATAAGTAAATAGAATAAAGGAGTAAATAACTGAAGACATTAGAAAGAAAAAAGATTAAAGACAAAGAGACAAATGAAGACAAGCCAACAGCCAACATATAAATAACCAGAACACCTGGAGAAACAAATCAACCAATAATAACAAATCTTAATTATAATTTTCCCCCGAAGTACTGGAGATTGAAATCATGGCCTGTGCACTGCATTACATCCTCAGTCCTTTAGCATTTTTTACTTTTGAGAGACAGGGTTTGCTAAGTCCTTAAGCTGCCCAGGTTAAGTTCTAAGTCAGAATGCTCTTGCCTCACTCTCAGAGTGCTGAAATTAGAGGTGTGTGCCACCGTGCCTGGCTACTAATTTTTTAAGTTTGTGAATTCTTGTAAATTAAAGATTACAAACACGTAAGAAAAAAGAATACTTGAGACTACACACCCAGAATACTGAAGATGAAGACATATTCTGGCCAAAAAAAAACTCTACTGGAGTAAGTTCTTTGGACAGTCAGGCAAAAAGATCTGGTGACGAAGCAGTAAGAAGTACTTATCATCAGGTTTTTAAAAAGTTTACACAAAAGAAGATGAAATAATAAGGTGTGATTGGAAAATATGATGATTAAAAATTTTAAGAATTATTACAGTAAAGGGCATTGCTATTAACGCCCCTCAAAACACTCCCTGTCCCTTCCTGCACACCCATTCCATCCTTCTTGCTGCTTGCGGGAACAGTTCTGAAGTTCTGTTCCATGTCTTTAGCTGCGCTGTCATAGATACTTTGATGTCCTGAACTGATCCGAAATGTTTACCTTTATGACCATTTTGGCTTCAGGGAAGAGCTAGAAGTTACACACTGCCAGATTAGGTGAACCCGGTGGATGAAAACACTAACAGTTTTACAAGCCTGCCTTCCCTTCAGAGTGCACTCCACAGCAATATTCATCATATTTTGGACCATATGTCGTGAAAGCCATGAAAAAGAACTTACAGAACTGCTTCAGAAAGTGGGAAGAATGATGGGATAAGTGTGTTCGAAGCATGAGAGAGTATTCTGAGAGAGATTAATGGCAATGTGCTTTTTTCAATAATTTTAAAAAACATTCACTGTATATTTTAATTACAAGCATAGGACAGTCTTTTACGATGTTCAAAGAAATTAAATATGAACTGAGGATTTTACATCCAGCAAAACTGAAAGATTATGCTCAATGGCCAACTCGACTGGATTACAATACTAGAGAAGTGATTAGACCATGTGGGCATCCTACTCATCTGTGGGTTAATCCACTGACATTCATAACAGGAAAGTATTGTTAAATGGTGAAGAGGGGTCACTGGCGAGTGTGTGCCTCTCGATGGCTGTTTTCCTTTCTGCTTTGCTTTCTAGCTGTCATGAGCTAAGCAGTTTTGCTCCACCATGCCATTTTACCATGAGAGTGTTTTGCCTATAGGTCAATAATGAACCAAATCCTCTGACACTGTGAGCCACATAAGTTTCTCCTCCTTAAGGTATATGTGTCAGGAACAGGAAAGCACTTCAATACACTGAATTTCACATATAATGGACAAAAGATTAGTTGTTAGTACCCAGAGAATATTATTCTTGTGCCCTTGCTGAAATATTTACTAGAACACAACAACTTTAGTTAAAAGTGTGTGTGTGTGTGTGTGTGTGTGTGTGTGTGTGTCTAAAAAGGACATGTAAAAAGTGGCTATAGTGATTATGAACAGGAACTACAGTCCTCCTTCAGCACCTCTGGGGAAGTGGTTCCAAGACCCCCATGGATACCAAAGTCCATGAATACTCAAGTTCCTTATATAAAATAGCACAGTACTCACATAAAACCAGCTCACTGAACACTTTAAATCACCTCTGAATTACTTCTAATATCTACTACTGTATAAATGCTATGTAAAGTTATACTGCATTGTTTAGAGAATGAGAAAAAAAAGTCTGTACTCAGTACAGATGAAATTTTTTTAAAAAAATTGCTTTTAATTTACAGTAAGTTGGCTGAGTTTGGATGTGGAACCAACAGACACAGTGCTGAATTTACACAGTAAGACCCTATTTTACAAACATTTGCATTGAGAACTTCCCAGCCACACTGTGTAAGACTCACTTTGTTGAATACAATTGAATCTGACCTATGAACATTGTCCCAAAACTGAACTCAGTTGTAAACTGGGGACTTGCTGTATATAGCTACTTGTAGAAATAACAGGTAGAAAAGAATGTGTCTAAATGAAAGGGAGAATATGTAATGGCTACAGGTTCTGATAAGAGAGACAAAATACAAAGTATCTACTCATTTAAAAAAAAAAACCAAAAAACAAAAAGACAAAAAAAAAAAGACCAAGAAATACAAATAGCAGAAAATGAGCATTCTTAGCACCATGTTATGATTTGAGATACTATTTCCTACTACTAATACAAGCCAGAACTTCTTGGAAAAATACTTATTCCATTCTGGGACAAAAATATAAAAGCTTCCCCTATTAATCTGGGTATAGTCTGTCATATCAGACAGCAAAATCTGTGCTCATCAGCTTTTTGTTACAGTAATAAATACCTAAAATAATTAACTTAAAAAGAGAAAAGTTTTATTTCAGCTCAGCTCACAGTTTTGAAAATTTCAGTCCACAATCAGTAAACACTACTGCTTTTTAGATCTGTGATAAGGCACCGCATAATGGCAGAAACACACAGGGAAACAAAACCACTGAAGTCATGGTCAGAAACTAAAAGAAAAGGGGCTGGGGATTTAGCTCAGCGGCATAAGTGCCTGCCTTGCAAGCAGGCAGTCGTGAGTTCGATCCCTGGTACCGATAAAAATGAAAAAGACAAAAAAAAAAAAAAAAAAAAAAGAAACTAAAAGAAAGGAAAAGCGAGAGGCACAGCCCCAGTTACCTGAAAATCTCCCACTAGGCCCTCATCTTAAGGGCTTACCACCTTCCTATAGAGTGCCATGGGCCACAGACCAAGTTTTAAACACATGGACTTTTGAGGGACACTTACCTAAACCACAGCACACAGAAATGAGTATCGTGACCTAACAATGCTCCCTATGACCAAAGATGAGATTACATTTTTACTTAAAAAAAAATACTACTGTAAAAGATTAGACAATGTAAAGTTGAAATACACGAGCTCATAGTGATATTTTAAAAAGTTAGTTACCTCTAGAGGATGACAGGAAGTAAATTCATCATTGGGAAAATTGGTAAATATAAGGATCAAACATTTACTCCAGCATTTTTTTATATAACTTAAATGAGTAGTATTCAAATTATAGATAAAAATATCTCTTTACAGAGAGAATAAAACTAATAACAGGAAATCATAAAATTAGAACATCATCATGTTGCAGTCACCAGGAAATCATGAGGCACTGAGCATTAACAGGAGCTAACATCCCACGTGCCTCATGATGTATCACCTACAGTCTTGCCAGAGAGGCTGCATCTACATCCTAATAGCTCTGGATTACTCTGACATTTTAGGGGACAGATGAGCTACACTGTGATACAATCAGCAAAATCCAGCTGTGAGAACTCATAGATAAAAGGAAAACTACATGATGGACAAGGGGAGGACTACAGATTGAGAGACTTCAAAGACATACGAAATACAGTATCTGGAAAAATAAGGCTAAGCTACAGCTTCTGATGGTGCACACTTTTGTAACAAAAGTATAGATAAGTATAAGAAAATTATTGCAATTTATAACATAAATAAGAGTATTTAGTTCTGGCAGAAGCAGAAAATGGAGTAAGAGGGGGGCATTCAAGGAAGACTTAGTGGCTGCCAAAGCTTTAATTCTTGACAACTGTATCATACAGTAATTCATTATAATATAAAAATATTCCTATGATACAATTAAAATGTATTTCAACCAAGTATGTATACTTTTGTATATTAATAAAGGGCATTCCACAATGATATATGGGTAGGAATAATATTTAAAAATTAGACAGAATTCTTACATTTTTATCTTGCCATTTTCTGTCTTATATTCCCTTTTTCCATGCTAGAAAATAATCCTAAATCTCATTTCTAATTTGTGGAGTAAAGCTTAGGGGAGGGAACAAGTAATTAATGGAAGAATATTTGTATGTGCTAGTTTGTGACCTAAGGACTTCATTCACACATTACTTCATTTTATCTTTATACGTTTATAGTGAAAGTATTAACTTAGGAGAGACTTAAGTGAAAATATTTACAAGTTTAATAGAGAATAATGCCTCAAACTCATAATGTTCTCACAAGCTGAACAAGGTCATCCACATATTATTCCTAATAACAAAATAAAACAACAGACAAACAAAAAACCCCAAATCGATCCAACAACAGTCAGGTGTAGTTAGTTACACTTTAAAATGATATTATAGATGAATATTTATTGTTTCAGCAATACATGGTGTCAATTTTTTTAAAAAGTAAATTAATATTAATGCATTTTGTTTCAAATATGTATGCATGCAGATATGTAAGTATAATAACTAAGGTTTAATGGTGTTTCTTCTTATAGATACTGGAGTGTTTGAAAATACTTCTTTTTTTTTTTTTTTTTTGTCTTTTTATCGGTACCGGGGATCGAATTCACAACTGCCTGCTTGCAAGGCAGGCGCTTATGCCAATGAGCTAAATCCCCAGCCCCTGAAAATACTTTTTTTCTTTTTGCTTACCTGCATTAACTGATTCTTTTATAATACATACAAATTTCAGTCTTGAACAGATTAAATAACTGTTACATGGATGACAAGGCAAGAGCCATGATTATAATCTTCATCTTTACCACCGCAGAACCTGATGACTTAGTACAGCACAGTGGTCTGTACCAAATTCAGCTGATTAATGAAACTGAAAAGACAACCTCACCTTATTGGCAACAGCATTAACACTTGGTCGGGCATCAAATATAAAGATTTTGTGAGATTGGGCGTTGGAATCCATGATAGCTTGAAGGTATTTTTCATCCTCTTTACTTCGCTTCCCACTCACTCCCACCAGGGGCTGGCTGCATCGAGTGACTGTGGCTTGACTTTCAGGATGAATCCATGATAAAACCTTTTATGAGGGGGAAAACGACAATACACACTTCAAATGTTTCTCTGTTCGTAATCCTTAAAAACAGTCCTCTGTAAAGCTCTGTTTTTTAACTAGATCCAAAACCTGGTCATGAAATGTGGGAGGAAAACTTTGTTCCAATCTATGGGAAAAAGAATTACTTTTTTTTTTTTTAAACCAATTCTGGTATGTGAAAACCTGGTCTAACTCATAATTAGATAGTATTTATGAAAGTCACTGATTTGGGAAGTGGTACCTCTAGGAAGAAAATAATAAATTATACCAGGACTAAGTAAACTCCACTCTGAAAGTTTTATTACTATATCATTAAAACTCCAAAATCTTCAGAATGTACAGATTTTGTATGTGAAACTATTTAAGCTGATCTTTCAAGATCTAGTTATTCATCATTAATTTGTAAATTGTTCTTTCTTGATTTCATGGAAAAGAAACTAAAGAATATATAACATAAATACTGAATGATACACATCGAAAAGTTGTTTTCATGTTAAAAACTAGGCAATTATTTTAATGTTTAAATTTTTCAGTTCTAAAATTTTATAGTTTTAATTATCCCAAGTAACTCAGTTTCTAATATTGCCAGAAAGGATTTGCTATTATGAGTGTTTTTATCTGCACTCATTCTCCAATTCATTACGCTCAGCTTTAGGTATAGTACAAAAGCATTGATGAGATTTCCTTAAAACATCACACTTACTGGGATACGGCCCCTTGACCTGAAGGACGCCACTCTCTTTAATTCTTCATCAGGAATATTTGCTGGCACAACCAAGAGTGCAGGATATGTGTCACAAAGTTCATATCGTTCATTTACCTTTGTTATTCTCCAACTTTCATTTGGAATTCCCTACACATGAAATAAAGCATATGGCAAATCATTCACTAAAATATTAAGAGAGAACAAGACAGCAGGCATTCTGGTCTCGTACCTTCACTATACATCGATTCTTTACATTCCACTGTTCGAACAGTGATTGTCTGCCTGTGTTTGCCAGACTTTTAAGATGAAACATTGTAATGTAGGGATCTCTTCATTTTGGCACCAAATTTTACATTGATAGATTAGTTTGTTAAATATTAGTAGAATGTGAGTCTATGCTAAACAGAGTGGGCAGAAGAGAATGGAAGGAAATAGTAAGATTGCAAATGTTCCATCTTAATAAAGAACAGTGTCAATTTGATGAGATGACTGATTCTGCTGCCATTCATCTATACAAAGAAATTTCAGAGGGGCTGGGGATTTAACTCAGCAGCATAAGTATCTGCCTTGCAAGCAGGCAGTCTTGAGTTCGATCCCCAGTACCAGTAAAAATGAAAAAAAAAAAAAAGAAATTTCAGAGGGCAAGGACCAAGCATCACCAGAATCTTCTCTATATAGTTATCCCTCAAATACCTAAAATGAATTTCCACCCCTCCTCTGTGCTGTTATATTAAATGCTGCTATATCTGTAACATGCTAGGAAAGCCAAGGAACAATGAGAAGGCAAAGTGAAGACAGCAGATGAGAAACACTTAAAACAAGTTTTTAAAACATCATTAATTATACTCTCTAGTGGTCCTTCAATATCTGCTACTTTATAGTGCACTGATACACATGTCAGATTAGATACTTAAAATGTTCCATCCTTCTTTGTACAGAAAATAAAGCATTACATTAACTAAATGGTTTAAAATAAGAAATTAAATATTTAAGATTTTATCATCCCTAAAAACTTGTATCAACCAAAAAGAAAAGAATTAAAGAAAACAAACTGTGGTGAAAAATACATTTACTGAGCATCTATTATATGCAGGCTCTTTTACACAAATGCATTATTGTAATCAGACGTTTTTAGTTTCATTCTATAAATGAAGAAATTGTATTACAGTCTGTAATTTGACCAAAGCCAAATTACAAAACTTGTCTATCCTAACATAAAGTACATTATATTACTCAAGAAAAACTTACTCTTGTATTTCTAAATTGCTATTAAAATCTAAAGTAAGTAGAATGTGCTCTCCTTTGAAGTGGTATTTCTGCTACTGCTGTCACTGAGTATTACGAATAAAGTAGACTAATTTTCCTTCCAGTAATCAAGTGGCAAATGTTCTTCACAGAATTTGTATCTTTTCCTAGCATAGTCAGCTTTTTCACTAAAACTATACTTTAAATCCTATTTACTCCATTTAATTAAGCCTAATTTAAACTTGCTCTTTTAATCTATCACTTTCTTTTCCTCTTAAGTTTATATATTAAGACTACCATAATAGTCTTATTTCTAAAAGTAAAGTAAAATTTCCCTTAATCCGAGGGTTAAGAAGTATTTACAGCTATTAAAAAGAAAAAGCACAGTGAACTGACACATTTAAAGAAGGTTCTGGATACTGCCTTTAACTCCTTCCCCTCTTATATTCCCTACCTCCAATCAAAAGCTAAGTTTTACAACTTTTTCTTCCAAAAGCTCTACAAGAAAAAAGTGTGCTAATTTACCTCAAATCTCACCACCAGTTCCTAATTTAAGCCATTATTTTTCTCTGTAATCTGACTCCCCAAGAGTACATCTTTTAAAATGTAAAGATGATTATCATTCCTTTGCCTAAACTTATTAACAGCTACCTTTACTTTTCATATAGAGTGTAAAATCCTTCACAGGACCTGGCAAAATCTTGATTTTTCCAGATTTATTTCTTGCCACTAAATACTGTAGCCCATGCAATACTTCTTTCCATTTCCAGTTTTATTGTCTCTCACTAAAATACATGTTCTATTAGCGTACTCTCTATGATATACAATAACGTAAGTGTACTTTTTTGAAGCCTTCATTAAATGTGAAATATGAAAGTTGTCAGAACCAAAATGGAATCATTTGTGTCAATTGTACAGAGGAAAAAAATAAAGTTGGAAAGTTTTAAAGCAAGAGTTCTGACACATAATTGCCTGATAGTGTCACAAGACTGCCAGAACCACAAGCTTGCACAGTGACCAACCTTATAGAGAAAGTACTTCTACAAGCACACTAGCCCAATACGGCTCAACTTTGGACTAGCATCATTCTTGTTATTAATCAATATGGCTAAGGAGACTTGATTCAAAATATCGGATGAAATCCTCATCATTTTTTTTTTTCTAAAAACTTCACCTTGAGTCTCCTTGAGTGTGGCCATAGTTTATTATGGCATCTGTATTCCTACTGTAATGTTCTGCTATTCTGAAGTATTATTCTTTGGAGAATTTTTATTTTTGTTTTGGGCTGACAAATGTAAACTCTATAAAGGCAACAATGTATCTTTTTTTCTGTTTATCTACTAGTATTTGGTACATACTATATGAATTGATATACGAATGAAGCATGTATCTGAGATCCTATGGCACCTAACCCAAAGAAGGCTGTCTATCTCTTGCCCACATCCTTGGAGAATCATGACCAGGATAACCACTGTAACCACTGAGAATGCCAGGGTTACAGGGGACTAGTAAGAACCACTGACTTAACAGTTACTGTCTTTTGTTGATCTTTGGCATACATTTTTCTACTATCCATGTAATTCGTTGACCTCCAGTTAATGTCTATCGGTCAGAGACAAACTACAATCCAATTAATGGAATTACACATTTCATTAGTTATATTCCAGTTCTAAGAATAAGTTTTGTTTTTCTTGACTGAATTTGAGTGTTTTCCACCTGTGACAGACATGACATCCACCTCATAATTCAGTATTTCTGTAGACTACCATGCTCATTATCTTCACACAGATTTTGACTGGTTACATGATTTTTTTCTTAACCTTCTCCACAAATTCCAGTGTCTTTCACATAATTGCTATATGATTCAACAATAAATTAAACACTCTCCTACATAACAAACCTAAATGGCTATTCATAATCTTGTCTTTTTAAAAAAAAAAGATATAGCTAACTTATGCACAGTGGTCAGCATCTGGGAGACTGAGGCAGAAGAACTGCTATGAATTCAAGGACAGCCTGGAAAACATAGTGAAACCATGTCTCAAAAAAACCAAACAAAACAATTTCTCTTATCAAAACAGATAGTCTAATTTCTTTTAATACCATTATGTATATATCTATCGAATTAATGTGATTTTCACTCTTTTAATGGCAACACACAATAAACCTCTGAAAAGAGAAATCACATTAGTTGTGATACATTGGTGTACTTAAAATTTAAGACAAGGATAAACATCAGAGTATTTGCTCCTCCTTCCCAATGTAATTTATGTTTTCAGAGTATTACAATGTAACAAATACAATAATTATTTGAGTATTTTTAGTTTAAAAATGCCTTTTTGTATGCTATTAATCCTTCAAAAATAAAGCAGTACTTACTACTAAAAAATGAAGTCACAGTGACATGAATGACACACTCAAAAGCACACATCAGTGAAAGATATTAAAATTCAAAATGATTTATTTTAAATGTTATACAATTAAGAGTGTAGAAACTGCATAAGCTTATGTAGTGAATTGACGACTAGTGGTCACCTTAAACACCGGCTGAACTGAACCAGCATGGTGCTGAGCATGGACAGACAGCCCACCTGAGGACTGCTGACAGCATAAAATGGAGACCTGGAGAGGATTTTCGTAAGTGGATTCTCCTAAGTGTTGTTTGGAGCTCTTGCTTCTTCAGAAGGAGCTTGTCATGCTGGCTCCCCTGATATGAACTTGGCTGTTATCATGAGAAGGTTGGGACCTTGTTGCTGAGAATGCTTCGGTTTACTTTGCAGGAGCTCTGGTCCTTACTTTGATCATCGCTGCCTGGCTCCGGAGGGGAAGATATGTACTGTTTAATCTTCAAGAGATGTTTGTCACACTAGCTTCCTAATTTGAACCCAGCTGTTCTCATTGTCAGAGGAGCTCGGGACCTCACTATCACTGAGGATGGCTGTGGTACTTTTCAGGGGAGCCCTGGTCCTTATCTTGAATATCACTTCTTGACTCCAGTACAGAACCCTTAGCCTGCTAGCACAGATGCTTCACCCTGCTGGCACAGACTTTCTAGCTTCCACCTCTGACCTTTGGCCTTCCCAGTACAAATCTGTGGGATGGACTTGCATGAGTCATTGTCACGGGCTCTGAACCCATGCAGGTTACTGCCATGGGATCCAGGCCCTCAGCTGGATTCTAGGTCTTTAGTGTTGTGGACTGATTTCCTGTAGTTTCTTTGTATTAGGTGACCATTATAAATAATTCTATAAATTATGTGTCCACTATACAACTGTTCTCCTTGCAACCCCTTACTATACACCTTATGAATATACCAAAAACCAGTGGATTACATACTTTAAATATTTTATGATACATGAATTCCATTTTAATTTTTAAATATATAAAGGCGGTTCTGTTTGTTCTGAGATGATACAATTTCCAAAGTATACTAAATGAAAAAAAAAAGGGTACAGCGTATGTGCGTTGTGCACATACTTTAAAAAATAGACACATATGTATACAAACTTAGTAGGTATGAAATCTTTGAAGAGGATATATAAGCAACTCATAATATTATTTCCTATAGGGATGGATAAAGAACAAAACTGTCCTAGAAAAATAACCTGCTTTTCAAGTTTGGACTTTTTAAATTTTGCAGGCTAAGAATTACCTTTTTTTTTTAATTTAAAAGTAAGAAAAAGGGGAATTTTCTAATGTTTTACCTTTAGTTTTAAATTTTAATTTAAGATGTGATCTTCATTTTCTTAATAAACATAAAAGATAAATCAACAAAAAAGAAATTAAATATTCTAACTATATATAGTGTTCTCACCAGGAGCCTAAGTTTAACTGACTCAAAGTTTCTAACTCTATAGCAGGAAAAAAAAAAGGCCAATAGATTCACTAGGTCAAAGACCACAAAGCACTGGGATCACAGTTTAGTGCTCTAGTTTTACAGCCATGCTTTCTAATCTCGTAATTCTCTTTATCATGGGTATGGTTGGTTGTTCATATACCCCTTCTTATTAAAAATAATGCCTTTTCTCTGAACACAGTTACTGCATATACTCTCCAAAATTCTGTGTTGAATGCTGCTGGAACAGACAGTAAATTTTGCCTAAATTCCTCATTTTTACAATACTAAAGACATTTAATTTTTCCGGGGCTTTAAGTGTGTTTTATCCTGTCATTGAAAATTGAACTTTGAGATGAACATAAATGTTCTATTGTTACCTCTTGGCTCTTGTTTTTAAGTTGAATCACATATATATATATATGTGACTTTCTGATAGTTAAAACCATCTGTGTTTTGATTTCACCATCATTCCTAAAAGACATAATTACTGTTCCAGAATTCTTAATTTGTAGTTATTTTATTTCAATATAATGAAGATAAAATTACATTTCCTCTAGGTTCCACTGTTGCTTTTAAAAAATGTTGTTTTCTTCTTATGATTATCTTCTAGTTGCTTTTAAGATTTTGTGATGTTCTAGTTCCTCTGTGCTATGTCCACCTGTCAATTTCTTTACACAAATCTTGTTTGAGATTTTGTTGACAGGTATCTTTGATCACTGTGAACGTAATACCAACTTGCCTATTCAAACATAATTTCTATGACTCATATCCTTTTCCATCACTTTTTTGTTTGTTTGTTCTTTTGCAGTAATGAGGATTGAATGCAGAGCCTTTGACTTGAGCTCCCTAGCCCTATTTTTTTTTTTTTTTTTTTAAGATAGGAGAGGGCCGGGGGCTGGGGATTTAGCTCAGTGGCATAAGCACCTGCCTTGAAGCAGGCGGTCGTGAGTTTGATCCCTGGTACAGATAAAAATGAAAAAGACAAGAAAAAAAAAAAGATAGGAGAGGGCTGGGGGCTGGGAATATAGCTCAGCAGCACAGCACCTGCCTAGCAAGTGCAAGGTCCTGAGTTTGATTCCCAGTATCATAAATAAACAAACAAACAAATCCATGTAAAAGAACTTAAAATATGTGACAGATTCACGACAAAATACGGAGACATTCTTCTGTGTGTGGAGGGGGTGTGTGTGTGTGTGTGTGTGTGTGTGTGTGTGTGTGTGGTTCTAGGGATAGAACCCAGGGGACTTCACACATGCTGCTCAAGCGATCTACCACTGACCAACATCTGTAGCCCTAGAGGGGTCATGCTTATGATTGTTACTATCCAAAGTAAATCAATGCTATCAACAGCACAAAATAGAACATATGCTACATTTTCTGTGAAAAATTTTATATGGAGATTTTATAAAAGAAATAAAATGATTAAGAATTATTTAAGAATTATAAGATTTCCAAAAAAGAAAAATCTGAGTGAATGTTAAATGTTACTTATGAATGTTAAGCTTATATACACATGTATTTATCTTGTTTTTATCTTTAGCACTATTAAAATAATTTTGAAACAAACTAATGCTTGTAAACTCTTAAGTAAAGATCCATAAAAGATCACTGGTGTACTTTGGTACTTTAAAGAAAATGAAAGGAAGACAAGACAGATGATCAGCATTAGCATCTATTTAAAAACAACAAAAGAAAACCTAAAAACCTATTGACTTCTACTCATAAAGTCTTTTTATAATAGATTATAAACCTTGAAACAAAAAGAAATACATACCTGCCTTCTGTACTCTAAAAGAGGGTCATACAGCTTCCATCCATTTTCTGGAAATATTTCTTTGTATTCAAAAGCAAACAGAGGCTACAAAACAGCAAGCAGAGTTAACAGCTAAAAGACACTAAAGAAAGTAATGAATCAGAATATATTCTTATACTCGAAGTGCTCACTCACCTGCAAGAGTTGTTGTATTAACTCCTTTTTATATTTATATTGTTCTAGCTTTTGTTTTATATTTGAAAATTTATGACGTTTCACAGATTTTTGTGAATACATAAAAACACAAGAGATCTATCCACAAAATTTATAAAATGCTCACACATGATCACATTTCCTTTAGCTATCTTTGGAAGCTTCTGAAGTATAATTCTAAATAATAAAAGGTATTGTATACGTAAAAGAACTCTGCTATAATTAACTACTCTGGTATCATGGTATTAGCAGTTAAGTAGCTATGAAGTTTATGCAACATTTTCTAAAAGCTAAAAAGCCTTTTAAAATGTATTTTGTGTATAAAACATCATTTTTATAGACATAACAGAAACAGTAAAAATTTTTTAAAAAGAAATTGAAATGAGTCAGAGAATCAATGTTGATTCCAAATTCTACTTGCCTTTGAGTTCATCCTTCCCTAATCCTGGTTTCATCTTTAAAATAAACAAGAGAACTATTGAAGTGAAATGGTACAGCACAATTGAAGGTGCTAACACTGTCACAAAACTTCCGGACAGCACAACATAGGAACTCAGTACTTGCTACCTAAAGCACATAACTTTTTAACCATAAAGGAAACTACATATAACTTTGCATAATATAACCTACATAGGGATATATGTAATTCTGTAATGTTAATGCTGGAAGGAACCTTCGAAATAAATTGGTCCAGGTTCTTCATTTCTTACTTAAAGAAAATGGTCCAAGATATTAGATTAAGTCTAAACAATATCTCTGGTTAAATGTCCAATGTAGAAATTCTAGATAACCTAGTCAAGTTTCTATACACCAGTTATTATAAAATACACTTTTCAAAGATAAGAAAAATGTTACCAGATTATTAGAGACAGGAAATGCATATTTCATCAGATTCTCAAATATAGATCTTCTTGTTCGCCCCTCAGGTTTATGAGCAAATCGTAAATTCCTAATATCCTAGAAAAGATTTAGCATCAAAAGTAATCATTGTTTTTTCACTTTTTATTTAATAAATAAGTAAGATTTCTTAGAACTACCTTGTAAAACTTTACTATCTGTGATTATAAAATACACAAAAGTAGATAATAGCTCCTAGAGGGAGGTAAATTTAAAATGATTCAGTGGGAAAAATAAAAAGAAACACAATGCACTCTAAGACAAAGCAAAATTTTGAGGACAGAAAATTTATATATCCTAGCGGACTCAATACAGGCTGCCAGCAGGAAAATTGTGAACAGTTTGATATTATACAGGCTCTACAGTCGGACTGCATGACCGGCACTTTCTTCCTGTATTATCCTCAAGTCATATCCTATACTAGGCTGAATTTAGATACTCATTGTGCCTTACTGGTATCTTAACAGTATTCACCAAAAAATTTGAGGTTAAAATAATTTCAAGACTATCCATTTTATTTAAATGATTTAACCCAGGCAGAATTCAAAGTAACTATTATATCTCATAATATAAAATGAAGTACAGATATTATCCTACCATATACCTGTATAACCAAATAAAATACTGTATTACAAATCTGATCCAAAATCACAATGCCAGCTTTTAAAATAAATGTGTGGGAACTGAAGCTGAAATCTTGTTTTCCCTCTGTACATATTTTTATAACTAGTGAGGATAGTCAGATTCATTAACTATAGAGCTTTCTGAAAATGCCATAACAGCGACCCTACAAATACTTGAGTTCATTGACACTTCTTTTTGAGGCAGGGTCTTGCTATGCAGTTCAGGCTGGCCTTGGGCTCACTTTGTAGCCCAGGCTCATCTCAAATTTGCAAACAATTCTCCTGCCTCAGCCTCCCAAGCGCTGAAATTACAAGAGTGTGCCACCATGCCCAGCTGAAAACAGTGTTTTAAATGACCAACATTTCAAAATAAGCCTCTTCCATCTTTTTATATTCTACTGTACTCATTATTAAACTACAGAGAAGTGATCAACAGACAATATGCTTGACAAAGTCAACAGCTGTTACACTCAAAGCCTGACTACAATTAAAAAGCTTTAAAAAAACTATCAGTATTAACATTAAATTCATAAAATGTCAAAGATTATCATAAGAAAGTATTATATATTATAAGGATGCTGTTTCTTTTACTTTGGGTCATAGTAGAATAGCAAAAGAACGGGGCAATATGATCTGGAACTGAGATGTGTGTGGGTGCCGACTAGGCTAAAGAGTGTAAACAGTAATTGGAAAAGTGATACATTAAACACCTGTGACAATGATAAATGTGAATGTTATCTTCTACCACAGTAATATTTCTAATAATGAAATCCATTTGCTATTTCCAAAATTAGTTTCCAAATACGGGTTCACTTACCACTTTTCAAACTAAGTAGCATATATATTCTAAAATTTACCTTGCACATGGTTTCTAATCCATAAGAATTTTCACCTCGACTAGAAGCACCACCAATTTTTTCCACTCGACTTATCACACCAAGAGAAGCATCTAAAACAAATGGGGGGTCCTAAAAGAAGGAAAGAAAAAACACTGAGAAACGGAAACTGCACAATTATAATTAAAGTCAGAAATCTTAATCAAAGCACTGTGCCAAAACTCTGTGTTATTTTGTTTGTCCATAATATGTGAGCCCCTGAATTTGACCACACACACTCAACACACACAAAGTTAAGGAATCTTAATGAGAAATTCCTTAGAAATGATCAAAGGAAAACAACACTAGTTGTAAACAACACACACCTATGTACAAAATATTTAACCCAACAAGTCTTACCCGCTCCATGCTTTTGAAATACAGCCTGTAATTTGTGACAGTCAGTGTTCCTCGTACAGCACCAGTGAATGGACATATGTAAGTTACATCTTTGGCTAAAAAGGCAAAACATTCACCATTTATACTGTGCATTGAAAACAGCCTCTTCATCTTGTTAAAATTATTCTGGTTGCTAGTTTAGTTTATGCTTTTTTAAAAACAACAGAATTAATGATTTCAAGGACTTTGGTAGCCTATCACAAGCCTCCCACCTCAGGAAAGGAAAGTAGAAAAAATGGGAAGGTCTGAAGAAGTACAGAGCTATCATAACAGAATGAAACAAAGATGATTACTATCCTTGTTGGGTGAAATAAGTGTGATGGTTGGAGCAGAAGGCTGGAGAGGGGCAGGTATGGTAGTACATGTATCGAGGAAGTTACTGTTCGTCTTATCACAGTTTCTACATCACCTATTTCTTGGTTCTTGGCCTCTGTCCTGTCTGTTAATATATCTTTGAAAACATAATATTCATAACATATATAATGCTAGAAACTCCTGATACATTTCTGGGAGAATTATTGTAGTTGAAATAAAATATGTATATATATATATACATATATATATATATATATATACATATATATATAATTTCCTTTAAAGACAGGTTAAGAGGATATTATAGGGCTGACCAGTCAACTCTGTAGAGAAATGATTACATGTAATGCTTCATTAATGATAAATGATGAATCAATACAGTATAATACTTTTTAAAATGCATTAATTGATTAGGCAGGACAACTCATCAAACACTAGCTCAAAATATTCTCTAAAGTGGCAGCTGAAGACCAATACAAGTTTAAAATGTATCTTAAAATATTTCTACTATGCTAATATTACATTAAATCGGCATACAGAAAGAAATAAGGTACAATTTTGTAGAGTAACAACTTCCTAAGAACCTTTAAAGGGACTCCTGGGAAAACAGAGCCATGAAATACATTTTGTAAGATACTGCAATTTCTTGACTTTGCTCCTTATCATCACTTTAAAGACTGCCTACTTTGTATGGAATTTGAAATGAGACCAATTATTTAAGAGTCATTTCTAACATCTGACAATCTAACAATCCCTCTTCCAATATATGTGTCATTTAGAAGGAAGCTTTAAAATTAAATAAACTCATCATTATATAATATACATATACACAGTCTTGCTTACACACATATTCTTTTGTGCTTATGAATATTTACATCAACTAGGAAAGCTTTATTCAACATTTCTATAAACATTTCTGGATTCTATCTGGAAACAGCTTTTTGGTAATACAAGAAAAGTCAGTTTTATTGTCCTATAAACCTTCTCAGGATATATCCCCTTTTTTCAATGCATTTTGACTCCCTTTTCTTGATTATAATATCACGAGACAATACATATGAAAATGCTTCTAAAATTGAAAGCACTGTCAAATGCAAGGAGTTCATACCTACATTCCTACTGTCATTAGTTTCTGCACTGTTCTCTCATTCCCCCTAATGCTAAGCCTCTCTCATGACAGATGCTAAGCCACTTTTCACCAAATAGAAGGGACACTCTAGGTGACTAAGTTCCTTGCCACAGCAAATGATAATAACAACTAGCACAGGGAACCAAGCACAAGCTTATGAAGTACCTTTAAGAACTTCAGCCTTAACTCATAAATATAGAAATACATTTATCTATAATTTTATGTAAAAAAAACAGAGTATAGAAAAGTGCAACAAACTGCCCAATGTTTCAGAACCAATGTTAAGATAAAGGCTTACTTGTCCTGACCAAAAACCTTTTTTCCACAATACCTCACGTGGCAAGGCTAAGCCACTGACAGCACAGCCTGTTTTAACACCTGCTTCCTGAATTAAAGGTTAAAGTGCTGCAAACTGTAAATACTTCTATTCCTAAGGCAATTAAGCCACAATACACTTTATTTCCTAAGATATTCTGCTGATGTTCCTAACATGACTTTAACTGTTTCCTTTAAGAAATGTGAACCACAGATGTATATTAAACCAATTTAAAATCCAAAATTTTTTTCCATGAAGATATCAAAATTTATCCTAACCTAAATTTAATTGCACATAGTCAAGTCTGCACATAGTCAAGTTTGTACAGATGATTTTAAATTAGGGAATTTAAAATTGTATTTTATATTATTTTAATGTTGCAATAATACTGTCTAATGGTCATCCAAACACATATGCTGTCATATTTACTGATCCTCTCAGTGTCACTACTATCACAAAGGAGGAACACATTTGGTTTCTGTGTGGTACACCAAAATGACCCTGGGAAATGCACCTCCATGAGAAAGGTAATAAATACAGGCAAATTAATACCTGAAAGCATGCAATCTTGCAAAATGCAGGAAAAAAGGCTCCAAATATGCAGAGATGGAAAAGTCTATTCAGCTGCAGGCACACAGAAAGGTTTAAGTAACATAGGCATGGGAATTTTTCTCAATGGCAGGTAATCGTTAGATAAGCACAGATGCTGACTAAGCACTAATGCAAAAGAACTTAATCCAAACTACAAAATTGGAAAAGTAAAGTATACATTCTGACAAAGATAAATATTCAGCTTGGCTCAATCTAAAGTATCTTATACTACACTCTCTCCACTATTCATGTTCCCTCCTTAATTCCCATGTAATTATAAAATGTCACCAAAGCTATGCTTTGAGCCCTCTTTTCTTTCCACTACTTTCTGAGTTATCTGCTTCCTCCTGTTTTTTTTTTTTTTAACAGTATTCACATGATGATGATTCTTAAACATGAGCCAAGTCTAGATATGTTATCGTCAGATATAGTGGTACTTCGGTACACAAACTCAATACAGTCCACAATTCTGGTCACAAACAGAATTGAACAAGAACTGAATCAAATTCATGGTTAGGTTCAGTGTTGACCTTACAGGGAAATTTGATTTGGTTCTAGTTAAATTCAGTTTGTGACCAGAATCATGAAAGGAACTCTGTGAATCAAAGTACCACTGTTTGTTCCAGTAGAGGGGCTCTATGGTAGAGGGCCTGCCTAGCACACAAAAGGCCCTAGGTTTGATCCCTGTCTCTCAAGCCTCTCATAGGCACCTGAAATTCAGTACACGTAAACATTATATCAAGCTTATAAAAACAGAGGAAGATAAATCCAAGAAATTCTTTGCAGTTAGCTCCTCTAGATCTGGTAGGTGGCTGGATATCAAGATTTCAGAATAAAAGAGCAGCCACAAAAGACTACTAGATTTCTGACCTAAGTGACTGAATAACTGAGAGGATGTCATCTCAGGGACCCCGATGTCAACTAAAAGGAAAAATGCAAGGAAAAGAGTATATTTGAGAATAAAGCTGAAGGTGATGATTTTAGTTTTGGAGATCTTGAATATACTATATTGCTAATACATGGCATAGAATAGCCATGAGCTCGTGCCTATGACACAATGAGCTCGTGCCTATGACACAATAATCTCCTTACATGCATTACAACAGAGGCTCTACATAGAAATGTAAATTTTATAGTCATCAACCAATATATTGTATGTGAAGTCACTGATTTAGATACAATCATTTAAAAAACCATGTAACAGGCCAGGCATGGTGATGCATGCCTATAATTCCAGCACCTGCGAGAAAGAGGCAGGAGGATCTCAGGCCACCCTGAGCTACACAGTGAGCTCAAGTCCCACCCAAACTACAGTTAGACCTTATTTCAAAACACAAGCCAACAAAGAATATACAAGAAAGGAATCTGGGTCAAAGATGAAGCTCTAGAGAATGTTGATACTAAATGAAGAGGAACAAACAAAAGCAACATAGACACTAACTTGAAAGTCTTTTATAAGCTCCTATCACAGTGGAAGTAGCACAGCGATTAGGTTCAGAATAGTAAAAAGGAAAATGTCACAATGTTAGACCTAACTGGTTATCTGGGTAATCACCATATGACTTAGCTTGCTAATCTACCAAATGGGGCTAATATCTTCCTTAGACTATTATCTGAGGATGACTAAATGAGATGGCACACCATAATAACTACTACCACATAGTAATACACAAATAACTGCAAGTGCAATATAATAATACACATGTATCTAACTCAGTAAAGTAGTTAAACACATTGAGGCTTAGGACACACATAAGGCTGAGTAAGAAAAAAACTGAAGACATATCTATGTGTCAAGAGCAAGAAGAAAATACTAAGTACAAGAAGCTACATTTAGTAGTAACAACCCATTTAGAGAGTGGTTCACTCACTCCTTTGGCTTATTCAGCTTCACACAAGAAAATGACATTTAGCTAGGGAAAGTAACATGACATCCTTTTGAAAAACTGTGACTGGCAGTAGTGAAAGATGCTATCTACTTTGGCTAAAAAGGCACTTCAATTTTGGGACACATTATTTCTCAAAATCTATTACTTTGTAGATTTACCACAACAAAGCAAAAGCATGAGGTGAGAAATACATGCTCATTTTCAGTTTCCAATTCATACTATAAGTATTCAGTGAGACAGAGAAAGGCGTTTACAAATATATGGCTTGTTTTGCAATGCTTCTAGCTTGAGTTTATTGAAAGAAAAACATCAGAGGCAAAGAAGTGGATGTGTTTCAAACTATTTGTATAAAGTGGAACACCTGGAGCCTTGGTGCATGCCTAGAAGGCTTGCTAGGAGGTTGACGCAGGAATATCCAAGTTTGAGCCCAGCCTGGGCAACTCAGCAAATGAGAAAGACTCTATCTCAAAAAATAAAAGGGCTGGGAATGAATTTCAGTGTAAAGGCTCGGGGTTTGATTTCGAATATTGGAAAAAAAAAAGTGAGTGACAATTTAGTGTGTTTGTCTAGGCAACCCAATATATGAATACAATAAAATAATATTGTCCTTGATAGAATTCAGCGAGTTAAAAAGAAAGAAAGAAAGAAAGAAAACACCTACTTTCAAAGAAAATTTAAAAAGCCAAAGCAGCAGAATAAAATTCAATATGCAGGTCTCCCAGTAACCCAATTAAGAACATTACCAAGTGGTAGTGGGGGGCGGGAGGGGATGAGACGGGACACTCTTGTAATCCCAGCACTTGGGAAGCTGAGGCAGGCAAATTGTTACAAATTTGAGAACAGCCTGGGCTACAAAGTGAGCCCAAGGCCAGCCTGAACCGCAAAGGAGACCCTGTCTCAAAACAAGAAAAAAAAAATGCCAAAAACTACAGGCCTAGCCTTCTGGCATACAAGGTTGAAAGGCTACTGGGAATAAGTGTTGCCAGACAAGAGGTACCTCTGACAGCCAGTCTGTTCTATATATGCTGAGAGTACTGAACAGTTTGAACAGAAAGAAGGATGAAGGAAATTAACAAAAAATACCATTACAGACCCATGTCTTTAATATTTTCTCCTGGAAGCAAGGGTGGTTCTTCCATTTCTGCTAATTTGTTAGACTCCCTCAGGACCTGGATTAAGGGAGAGAAACAAAAACATTTTTTTAAATTCAAAGGCTGATTTTTCATTCAAATCTCACCTGAGTATGCTTGGCCTTAAAGTTACAATACATGACATACACTACTTTAAGTCAAATTATAAAAACTAGTGCTGGCATGTGTAACATGTAAAGCTGCTATTTACTGAGCACCTACTTCAACATCAAAACACCTTTAAATGTATACAAAAAGCTGTATTTTCACTCTAGAGCCATAAAAAGCCTAATAATAAGGTATTATATCTTCATTTCAGCAGAGGCTAAAGGACTCAAGATCACAAACTAAAATTCTAGAGTTTGAATTTAAATTATAATTGCAGTAGACTCCAAAGCCCATTCATCCCATTCATTAAACCATGCTGAAAGGCCATATGCATTTAAACTAGGAAAATATTAAGACCTTACACAGACTTAATGCTTAAGGTGCTTGGAAATTATGTTGATAAAGAATCTTTTTTAACAGGTAATAAATAAATTAAAAACTTTGAGCAACTGTTATTGGGAACTTGTGAAATGCTATACTTGCATTTCAAGAATGTAAATACAGGAACATTTTTCTAGGGGAATTAAAACAGAATACACACACACACACACACACACACACACGCTGCAAGTTGCCATATGCTAAATATACACCCTCCAATAGCTATAAAAAGCCTTCCTGTGTCCCTCTATCTCTTGTTCTGCCAAACAATTAAGTTTTCTGTCTTCAATTTTTCACTTCCTATTAATTCCTCATCCTTCTGCAATCCGGCTTCATCGTCTAATCCAATCCCTCCCAGGGAAGCAGCTCTCTCACATTTATCAAAGACAAGAGTCTTATTTTTAATCTCTCAGCCACATCTGACACTGTCTAAAGACAGTGTTCTTACTGTTTCTTCAGATCACAGTGTCTTGGCTGCAATCCACTGTCTGACCGTCTCTGTCAAGGCCTTTAAGCCTCTTTTCCTTGCCTTCCCCACTCCTCTAGGCTGTATCTAAGACTTCTCACATTACTTAACTTCTGATGATCACTTACAAACCTATGACCTAAATTAACTTCACTTTATACTGTCAGCCAAAACTTTTCTGCAGTTCCGTACATTCAACTACAAATGTTAATCATCATCTAGACAGTGCAGACACCCGGAACATAGTAGACCTAAAACTGGTCGCATTTCAAACTTAGTGAATGAATTTATTGAAGCCAGTGAACAGAAAACTCGGGGCCACTGTGACCCCACCTTCTCCAGCCCTGAGGAAGACATGTGATTCAGGCCTTCTTCTGTCACAGCTCTTCTGTCTCAGCCTTGACTTGCTTCATTAAACTGAGAATCAATCCCACTAGCAACAAGACCTCAAAAATAATCTTTTAATGTTTAGCTGTTTTGCTTTATTTCTTTCCACCCAAAAAGTAAACTCAGAGTCCTCAAAAAGAGATAAAAACCAAAAAAAAAAAAAGCTACCATTTCTTTACAGGGGACCTTTTGCAGGCCTCTGATGCTGACTTAGTGGTGCCTCTTGGGTGAGCTCTGGTCTCACTTAACACGCCACTATTTTTTTTTTTTTAAGAGAAAAAAAGCTAAACAGAAAAAAGGGTAGAAATAACACAGAATTTAAAAAAAAACAGTAAGAAATCACTGGTTGACAAATTACATATTATCTTAGAAGTAGTTGCTCAAGTCACGAAATCAAAGCATAAAAAGTGGACAATCAAACAATGACAGAACAAACCATTGCGTTTGATGAACTAACAAAAACAGTAACATGGTCATCTATCTTGCACACTTAAGCATACATACAGTTATATCATTTAGAGCACTTTCTTTCCCTTTCATTATGACAATATCTATCATACATTTTGGATTTTATTACTCTTTCAGTTTTTATTATTATTTTTTATACTAGAGAGACAATGTGATATTTATAAATATGAGCCTGATTTGTTTCACTTATAAGGATAGTCTCAAGTTGCCTCCATTTACCTATTAAGGCCTCAAGATCATCCTTTTTATACTGAGTAATATTCCTTTATATAATAATATCACATCTTTTTCATCCATCCTATGGTTGATGGGCATTTTGGTTGTTTCCAAGATTTAGCTATTACAAATTATGCTGCTATGAACATGGGTGCACATATATCACTGAGACATGACTTTTTCAATTTTTCTGAGAAAATACCCAAAAGGGGAATGGCTGGATTGAATCAAATTTCCAATCCTAGTTTTTTGAGGAATCTCCACACTGATTTTCACAGTGGGTACACTAGTCTACACTCCTCTTTTTCTCCACAGCCTCATTTGATTTCTTGATGGCAGCTATTCTTTCCAGAGTGAGGTGAAATCGCAATGCTGTTTTAATTTGCATTTCTCAAACAACCAGTGATGGTAACATTTCTTCATGTATTTATTTGCCATTAGTATATCTTCATCCGAGAAATGTGTGTTCCTCTAAGATGCCCATTATTGGAGAGGCTCTGATACTAGACCCATGTCCATCACCATGCACTAAAGTCAAAATGGATCAAAGATCTAAATATTAAACAGAAACACTAAATCTACTGGAAAATAAGGTAGGTAAAAATCTTGGAGACATAGGGATAGGCAGAGAATTCATGAAGAACACGCAAACTGCAATGGGAAGTATTTCAAAGAATCAACAATTGGGATTTCATCTTATTAAAAAGTTTTGCACTTCAAAAGAAATCACCAACAAAGTGGAAAAAAACCCACAGAATGGGAAAAAAATTTAGCAGCAATCCCTCATACAAAGGACTTATATCTAGAACATACAAAGAATTGAAAAACATCAAGCTCCCCTAATTCAAAGATCCTCTACCACACCACTTTTAATTGTCTGTTAGTCCTCTTCCCCGCCAGACTCCCAAAGAGCTATGTATCTTATACACTTCAACAGAAACATAACATAAGCTATGTAAGTAAGTTCTAAGAATCTATTAGATATATTACAAAAATAAAGAGACAGAATTAATACACTGTTTAATCCATTTCAACATGTAAAATATACTTAAAATAAATGTTATTTTATCTAATACTAAACCTGGGATATCCCAATTATATATGTATGTTACATCTCTATCCAGCCACATTTTAGGAACTCAATATTTCCATTTTTAGTAGCCCCTATATTGGGCAGAGCAAACATAATAAAATTAATTCTTCCTTATGATCAAATAATTCTGTAGTTTAAGACAGTAAGATTAGATAAAAGGGTTAGAAATTACTGCCACATTTTAATGCTCATCTAAAACAATAACTAAGAACTACAAAGACAAAATAATTTCTGTTCAATAAACTTGTGGTGCTAATACATCCATTCTTTTTAAAGTGTGAAAAATCTGTCTTATAAAGTAATTTTAATGCAACAGTTGTATACATGTATTTTATACACTCCATTCAAAAGCTAAACATCATGATTTTAAAATGTTTTCTTGTTACTAATTCCTGGTATAGTCCTTCATGTAGCAATCAAAAAGAAATTCATAGACTGAGAGTCAAAGGATGGAAAACAATAGATCATGTAACAGTGACCTAGAAAAAAGAAGGGGCAGGTATTCTATTTGTAGATAAAGTGAATTTCAAGCTAACACTATCAGAAAAAAAAGAAAGAAAAGATTCAAATCCATGCAATAAAGGATAAAAAGGGGTAAAATCACAATAGATTCTGCAGAAATACAGAAGATCATCTCTATATACTTGAATAAAATGGAAAACACAGAAGAAATGGACAGATTCTTAGATACATATGAATTACCAAAGCTAAATCAAGAAGATATAAAAGTTCTAAATAACCCAGTATCAGTCAATGAAATTGAAAATGTAATTAAAAATTTACCAACAAGGAAAAGCCCAGGCCCTTATGGATTCACTGCTGAATTCTATTAGAAATTCAGAGAAAATATAATACCATTATTTCTCAAACTAATACTCCCAAATTCATTCCTGGAAGCAATCATTACTCCGATACCACAACCAGAAAAGGATCCAACCAAAGAGGAGAATTATAGGCCAATCTCCCTAATAAACACAGACACAAAAATCCTCATAAAGGTACCAGCAAACAGAATGCAGCAAATCATCAAGAAGATTATATACCATGACCAAGTAGTATTCAACATCAAAACAGAGAAAGAAACCACTAGTAGAGTGAAGATACAACCCACTCTTGGAAGAAATTATTGCCAGCTGTCCCTCAGATAAAAGAATCCTATCTAGAATATATATAAAGAACTCAAAAAAATCAGAAACTCCAAATTTACAGACTCAATCCGAAAATGGGCATCTGAAATAAAGTCTTCTCAGATGAATAACAAATATATGATAAAATGTTAAACATCACTAGTCATTCAAGAGATGCAAATTAAAACAATGCTGAGATTCCATGTCACTCCAGAAAGAATGATTCCAGAAAGAATCAAAAAGAAATCAACCAATAACAAATGCTCAAATGCTGGCAAGGCTATGGGTGAAAAGGAACCCTTTTCAACTGCGGTCAAAGTGTTGACTGGTGCAACCACTGTGGAAATCTGTGTGGAGATTTTTCAAAATACTAATCCAGTTGACCCACCTATTCCACTTCTTTGTATCTTCCTGAAAGAATTAAAAGCATCATACCACAGTGATATGTGCACACCTATGTTTATGGCAAAATGACAAGTTTTAAATTCATCACTCTATATTACTAATGATCAGTTTGATTTTGCTTTCTCCTTAATCATAGTATTTTTAATCGATTATTATCAGACTATTGACAAACTGTTTAGCGATTTTCCAAGTGATTTTATAGTCTCTCTTTTCTCTCTCCTTTCCTTCTACCCCCCCTCCCCCACACACACACATAAGGAAAATTACTACAGGAAATTAAGAAACCTTGATCTGGAAGCTGGCAAGTTTATGACTTAAATTTTTACATGCACTACTTGGTAGAAAAGCAGCCAAGACTTTTTCTGCAGTTCACAAAAAACATTAAATA